AGCTGTAGCTGCTGTAGCTCTTGCGGCGGCTTTTCTTCTGGAGGCAAAGCTGCGAGTGAGCTGCGGCTCGGCATTGGTGTCCCCTCCTTTTGCTGCCGGTGGCTTGGAGGGCCTCCGCCTGCTCTTCAGTCCAGGAGAGTGACTCGGCTGCTCTGATGCGCAGAGTCGCAGAGAGTACCAAGAGCAATACCGGCTCGCCTGAGGCGGTGGCTGGTGGATTGGAAGAAGGCAGACGCTTAGCTGCAAATGCCCTGCCTAGGAAAGGGCAGAGGCGCCGGAATGCGCTTGCCACGCTGTCCACTTCCTTCCGTTGTCTCCAGCTGTAGGCGAAGAAGGCCCTGAAGAAGGCCAAGTGGCGCCATAGTTGACTTGTGCTGACATGTAGCAGCTCTCCGTTCGCAGGGCAAAAAGGCGGTGGATCGGGCGCCACAGTATGGTGCACTTCAGCTGAAATTTGCAGGACAACGGGACCAGTGATGAAAGCATTTAGAACATTTGCCTCCCATTCATCAACACGGAATCACCTTGACAGGAGATTTTGCTTGCAGTGAGCCAATGACCTTGCTCTTCAATCTTGCTGGAGATCGGCACTTACTCTTGAGTGTGGCCGATTTCCGTGTTTTGGGGGCCAACTAACACGGTCTTGAACCGCAAATGGTGACGTTCTCGTTCAGCTTGCTGAGCCAAAGGCCATGGATGTCCCGTGGCACGGTGCAGCCCGATCCGAGGAACAGTTGGGACCAATCACGGCCAATCCGGGACAAAGCACTTGCTTTGTTTGCGAGCTTCGCAAAGACTGGCGACTCGAGACCAACGGCCCCGAGGTTGAACTGTCCTGGGGCATGTATTTCGCTTTGTGAGTTTTACCACTCTTCGCCGTTTTTTCGTCAGTTCTGATCTGAGGCTTGGACGGCTCCCTGACTGTGGGCGTGGACATTGTCAGCCATGGCCACGGTGCTTTGCGTTGAGCTCGCTCCGCTCCTGGCCACTTGCACACAATTTGCGCTGCGAAGCCGACGCCCTAAGTCCTCCGCCCTCCTAGGCCTAAGTTTTGCAGACTTCGGAGCAGGGCCCCTCCTTCAGGAAACCTCCCCGGACCTGGCCAGAAACAAAGAGATGGCACGAACAGACGAAGCAGTTTGTAATAGCAGTGCATGAAGTCTTTTGCTGCACATTGTTCACTTATTCCGGCCCTGCCGAGGCAGAGAGATCTTGTACAGGTGACGTGACCTACGGTGAGCGGAGCTGATTACAGTCCGGCAGGCGGCAAAGAGGGCTCAGAAACAGATTTCGGAGTGTCATATTGGATTCATCAATGACTAGTGACTAATGTCTAGCAGTTCGCGCAGAATCGCGCAGACGGGTCCATCGCCTGACGGCCTGCTGCTTGCGCAGGCGTATAGACTTCGCCAGACACTTCAGCTCGTAATGTCTTTCTGTGCACCGCCCCCCATGTTCTATCGGAGTTTTGGAGTTTTGGTAGCTGTGAACCAATTATATGCTTTTAATGGGCATGCCAGAAAGAGGGGTCAAAGGACCTACAAGGCACGCGCTCACACCGCGCGCCACAGTTCTGCTGGCATAGATGCCATAGCAACCTGGCGCTCTGTGCGTCAACAATATTGACATATGTCCAGCCTGGCAGCCACAGAAGCCCTCCGCTTACTGAACCACACGTTGCAGTGCATGTTTTGTAGAGCAACTTGGATGCATTTACAACTATCTTTAAAGGACAACCTTTTGACGCCGCCTTGCTGTACAAATTTTTTCCAAGGTATTCCCCGTCTTCACGCGGAAGCCATTCGGCAACCTATGCCACGGGCTGAGATTTGATTCTCGAAGGTACCGGTGCGCAGCGTATTGTTGCTTTTGCTGGGTGATTTTTCGGGCAAGCTCAAACCTGCGTCGAGGCCTGTACAGACTCATATCCAAGCCACTTCCGAGTCTCGGCAGCTGTTACTTATGTCAGTCAGGTGTTGAGCCGTGGGAACCTGAAAATGCATGCCCCCACACAGTTCGAGATGGTCGGTTACATGATGCGGGAGATGTAGTGGAATAGTTTACTTGAGTGCACCATTTCCGAGATTCTTTAGATCTATTGTTAACCAAGACTCACCGCAACACTGCAGGGAGATCGGAAGGGCATTCCTCGCTGCAAGGTGGTCGAGCCTGACCATCGAACGTCAGCATACCCCTGTGTCTATACGCCCCGCCGGACCTTCCTGTCCATCTGCCTGTGAGGCTTGTGTGGTGCATGAAGCGGATTGGATCCGAAGTTTTGTCACATGTGCTAGGTTGGGTGGCTCCGATTGCACAAACAGGGATAGGCTTCGCCCACTCTTGTCAAAAAGTTGTTGAAGTTTTTGGGTTTTTTTTTGAAAGGCTACGTGCATCTGGAAGTGTTGCTCTTGCCGTGGCTGCTGACGTCCTGTTGCGCCGAGGGCTTGGCAAAGCCTCTAAATTCACCCGCGCAAGCGGTGGCAGACATAGAGGACCTTCGCGCCTCGGATGGTCAGTAGGGGAGTACCCGGCATGCCTCTGAGACAGAATGCTGAGGCACTGTCATGTCGCTTTACTGGACAACTTAGTCGGGTGAACCGAGAACTGAGGCGGTCCTTGTCCTCCGAACTCTTCTTGTGACAGGAGGAAGTCCCTGCAAGAGTGTTCGCAGGACAGCCTCATGAATACACATCCACAGTGTGCTGCATGCGTTCAACAGCATCTGGCCTGTATGGTCATACTGGTAGTTGATCCGGCTACGGCCGATCAAGGGCCTGCTCCCATCTCTGAGGATGGACAGCTTGTATAGACAGTTCAGACAGCATACTATGTCATGGCCAACATCGCAGCCAGCCTCGAACGTGGAAACATGTCACTTCATCTTTGAGATCATTTGCAAGAGCAGCTGCAAGATGTTAGAGCTGTGGCATGTTTTGGACGCAACAAAGAGTTGTGTCATGCTCTTTTGCGCCAATGCTGGCGACTCGGGCCAGACCTCTTGAGCGGAGCGTTCAGGGTCTGGAAATGTCTGCGAGCTGACGGAGCTACTGAGCTCTGCTTCTGCTTGCCGCAGTTTAGGCATCCAAAAATGGGGGGCGATGCCTGCACTGCTCTGATACGTGGCCTCATCGAAGCAAGTCGAAGCAATGTGTCGGTTCCCAAGGCCAGCCCGCTAAATGCCTGTGCTGACCTCCGCCTACCTGGTGGAGCTGAAAGAACCTTTGAGGCCCAGATCTTAGATGGCAGCCTTCCGTGTGCATGTTCACTGCCGACTGCCGGCAGCTGCTTTGCCTTTTATTCTAGCGGTTTCTGTTTTTGCTTGCCGACTTGCTGGCTCCTTTTCGTGCACGTGCGCCTGTGTGTGTGTGTGTGTGTGTTCTTCCCCTTTGATGTTGTGTGTGCGTTTGCGTGCGTGTGTGTGTGTGTGTGTGTTTGCATGTCTGTGTTTTTGAGTGTGGGTGTGTCTGGTTGTTTTGCGCTGCTGCTGGAGCCCGTCGTGGTCGTGGTTGGTGTGGGTTTCGTGATGCGAAGCACAAGTGATGCGAAGCCAAAGCACTTGTCCTGCTTACGCAGGATGCGAGTGTTGCGCAACTTCATATTGGGCATGTTGCTCGTGTCTCTGCGTGTAAGTCGTAAGTTGGGGATACTTGTGCTTGTGGGCAACAGCGACAAGATTCGTTTTGAGGGTAGCTGCAAATCTTGAAGCGGAAGGCCCTTCTGCATAGGATCAACTGACGAGCCGTTGCCTGCAGTGAGGCAACATATGCAGGGCGGCTTCTGATGATCTCTCGAGGGGGATGCTTGTTTGTCCAGTCACTCGGCTTCGATGCGGCTTTGCAGTCATGGATTGTTGCGGGGATGCTCCAACTTCAACTTTCATTCTGTGACAGGAAGTTGCTTCGGGCACAGCTGGCAGGAGCTGCAGGACGCAGAACAGTTACCTGATGTGCACTTTTGTTTTGTGCGGAGATTGAAAACTATCGTAACTCCTCTGAACATTAGAGTCGGTTCGGCTTCATGCTTTCGGTTCTGCATGATGTCCCTGGCAAGAAGGGGGACGCGCGCTTGCATTCTGCGTCTTTGGCGATCTCTGCTGATCCGTCGATGTCCTGCAAGGTGGTGAGAGCTCGCGGCGTGATACCGTCTTTTAGCACGAGTCTACCTCGCAGCGATTTGCCTTTAACGCGTAGGTAGGCCCTCTTGTCCAGATGCGATGGTGCTCGTAACTGCTTGTGGCTTACGGCTTCTGCCGCCTGTTGGCAATCTGGTCCTTCTGTATCGGGAATCGTTGCACGCTGGGAACGCACAGCGAGTAGGACGATGCCATAATAGGCCCTAATAGGCAGCGCGTGATGCGGCTGATGGACTTGCAGGAGTCGTCGTGATCAATTCCGAGAATCATGACAGTCGCCTGCAAGCCACCGACTCAACCAACAAACTCAGAAACTATCGTTGACATTGGCTGTGGTTGGTTGTGCTGCCGTCCTGCCCTTGCAGCATCTTGCAGCCGCCAAGGTCATGACGTGTCCAAATCAAGAGCGTGGCGGCGGTAGTGAGGCCAAGAGGTGATGCTGTGCCCGTTGTCTCGTACCGGGTGCCGTCGAGAGGTTCGCATCCCTGCTGCCATGGCCACTTGGCAGTACTTGCGGCTCTTTCCCTTTTTGGCTTTCTGCATTTCACCGTGAATCCTCCCATGTCCCGAGATCTCTTGGCACGACGGCCAGCAGCTGCTGGAGCGCCTAAACAGTGAGCCTCTGGCAGCCACATTGTTCGCGCCACACTGAAAACACAGACCTTCGGCCGAATCCGTTAGTTGCGAATGAGATGTCAATACCTATGAGCCTATGACATGTGCTCGGTCGGCAGTTTGGGCTTCAGTTCTTGTTGCACGATGTAGCTCGATGGCCACATAGCTGGCTTAACGTCACGACCCCAGAATCCAGAACCACCAGCTGCTCGTGAACGCCCTGCCCAAGAGCTATTTCTAAACAGGTGGTGGAATGGTAAGTGCAGAGCTTCAGCAGCACTGGCCTTAGCATGCGCAGAGCAGTGCATTGGATCCCTGACCGCGGTCATGCATCCATCATGGAAGGCTCAAGCGGAAGTATGATGATGAGGAAGATGTTGCGCCGCAGCTTGATCCGGACGATACTTCTCAGCAGCTTCATCCAGTGAGCATGATGCGGACATGTGCTGGCTGCTGGACCCAACGAGCCTTTCGTGTAAGGAGGATGACGGCTACGAAGATTATGTCCCAATCAAGAAGCGCAAGGCCATTTAATGCTGGGTGCCTGCAAGATTACCGGTGACTAGAGAGCCTCGACAAGGCTGCGATGAGAGAGAAGCTCGTCTCGGACAGGCCGATGGTGCAGCTTTGTTGTTCAACCATGGTCTTCGTTTTTGCTTACATGTTGGGGCCAGTGCCCCCCTGACGCTGCGTAATCAATCCGCCACGAAAGCCTCAGTATGCTCAGTATGATGGCCTGCAGGCAGAAGGAACGTCGAGAAGAAGCCGAACGAGTCATGCGCGAGAGACTCGCAGAGGCTGTTCCTGGTGTTGCACCGTTTCACCCTATACGACCCTGAAAAGCCCAGCATTTTCCGAAGCGTTGATGATTGATGATAGCGAGCATTCGGATTTCACTGCGGCTTTGGGAAGCCGGCAGCCTGAGTGCCTGATGTTTGAGCAAGTAGCTTCGTTTGGCATCTCCTTCAAACAGGAAAAGAAGAAGCGTGGCATCGTAGCTGCCTCAGAGGTGGGAGGTTCAAGTGCCAGTTGATGCCAAACGACCTGAGGCAAACTCCTTGCTGGCTGTGTCGGCAAAGCTCAAAGCAGAAGAGGAGGCCAACAAGGCCCGGACTGCCGAGCAGCGGCCTGTACGTGCACTTCTGCCTTGAATCCTGTTACGAGGAAGGGCGCGAAGCTGCGATCAAAGAAAGCATTAGGAATGAGGAGGACGGAACGCGCAACAGAGCTTGCATACTGTGATATGTTCTGCTGCCACTGAATTTTTTGTGGTATCTTACCGACTCAGTCGACCTGGAAGGACCAGCTCCTGGAGCAGGTTCAACTGCAAATGAGCACGCCCTTGATGTCCGTGCTTGGCTGAGCCACGCTTCTTATCCATCTTCGCGGATCATGTGGGTTGCCGAAGGTCCGGGAGCGAGCCAAGGGCATCCTGTATACGCAGAGGAGGGTAGTCGTTGGAACAGAGCCTGAGCGCCCTTCCAAGCGAAGCGATGATATGGCGACTTGAGGATGCCGGCAATTGGCGACTGGCGGCCAATACAGAAGTACCGTCGAGCACAAAGCTTTTGCGGGAGATGCTTGAAGGTTCACTACAGTGTAGTACAGCCTTTGACGGGAAACAGGTCTCCAAACTGCATGTGATTGGGATTGGTATTTTGGTGCCGATTCCTACTAGATGCAGCTCCACACTGGTTTGCAGTTCCGCACTGGTCGACGTTTAGGTGATATGCCAGAAGCAGAGAGAGTTTCGGTCCGCGAGAAGTACTTCATCGAGGTGCTACCTCACACGACTTTGCCTGCACAGTTGGCTGCAGCATACCAGCAGGTGAACGGACAAGAGATCCCAGCACCGATCAAGCGCTTTGAGGCATGGGCAGCTGACATCTAGCAATTCCGCCAGCTTAGACTTTTCTTATGATCGCTGCCAGGAAATGCGGCTGCCGCGCGGCATTCTCGAAGGCCAGTGGGCAGAAGACTGTCGAGAGAACAGAAGCAAGACTCTCTTTCAAGCGGCTGAAGTGATCGAACAGGCTTGAAGGCCAAAGGCATCATTAGGCCAACCCAAATCCAGATGTCACTGAGCTGCAACTTGGGATTCTACTGCCGCGCACATGTGAGAAAGGCTGAGTGTGAGCACTGGCCGAGTTTCTGCATTGGTTTTTGACAACCGCTTTGCATATGTTCATGTTTCCTCCATTTTGCTCCAAGGCAAGGCATTCCAGCAGGGCTTATGGGCCGTGACATTATTGGATGCATGGCTGGACTAATACCGTGTGGACAACCTTGATGAAAGCCGGATCCGACGAAAGTGTTGCTTGTAGGAGTGTAGCTGTCGAGATTTCAGGAATTGCCTTTACCGGCAGTGGCAAGACGCTTGTGCTCTAACCTCGGCGGTTGTCGATTGTGTGTGTGTGTGCTGGTTATTGCTGGTTCACCATGGGGCTGTGGCCTTGGAGAAAGGTTTGGCCTGCCCATGATTATGTGCGCGCTGGAGCAAGAGCTTCGAGCTCGGGTCGGGACCGCAGCCTTTGCTTGCATAAGTCGCAGTGAAGCACAGTTGTCAAGATGTCTTTGAGGTACAGCCAACCGAGGGCCCTTTTGGCCTAATCATTGCGCCCTCACGTGAGCTGGCGCACCAGACCTACGAGGCGGCGCCTGCCAAAACAGCCCCACGTTTCTTGGCCCCTCTCCGCGCGGAGCGTGACCGATTCAACATAACATGTTTTACAAGGATGCAATGTAGAACAAATACAGTAAATGAGATATAATGCAAATATATGTGTATATATATATATATAGATAGAGATATGTATATAGAGACAGGAGGTTAGGGTGAGAGCCCGGTGCCACTTCCCTCCCAGACTTTGCCAAGTGAAGAAGTTTTGGTGGAGTTTGGGCCCGAGCCTTCTCTTGGTGCAGGTCCTGGAGTTCTACACGGACCACTTGGCCGAGTACCACAAAGAGTTCCCAAAGCTTAGATCGGTTTCTCGGAGTGAGAGGCGCAGAGACGTCGTGCCCGTTCCTCACAGCAGATCCGAGGTTCTTACCATTGGCGGGCTCAGCACTGGAACCCAAGCGATGGCAATCAAGAAGGGCTGCCACATGGTCGTTGCCCCCCGGCTGAACTGCACTATCACCCTCCAATCTCAGGAATGTTCAAGGATTCCTGAGTTGGAGATCCAGTTTTCCTGAGGCGACACCCGGCCGGTTAAATGACCTGCTGAGCAAGAAGCGCATGTCACTGGCACAGCCGGGGGGCCCTGACAGAGGGCAGCAACACAGCCTTTTGCGAAGTTTTTCGCGGCTCTGAGGTGCCAAGTTCTGGTGCTTGACGAGGCGGACCGCATGATCGACTTAGGCTTCGAAGAGGAGATCCGGAACACCTTGGACCATTACCGAGGCACCTGGCCTGCAGGAGGGTTGTGCATTGCTTTTTCATGGTTTTCCTTTCAGGTCAAAGGCAGACCCTTCTTTTCAGCGCGACGATGCCAAAGAAGATCCAGGTCCGGCTGAGGGAACGCAAATGGTACGTGCGCAGTTCGAGTCTCCCGGAGGACTTCGCCAAGACAGCGCTCGTGGACGCGGCCGCTCGCCCGCAAGATCCTGGCATGTCCTGGTTGTGCAGCGCAGGGTTCGCTGAGGTCGTGATAAACGTGGGTCGTGCTGGCGCTGCCAACTTGGATGTCATTCAGGAGGTTGAGCCTCCTGCTTCAACTTGAGCAAGTCTTTTTTCAGTTTGACTCGCAACAATTCTGCCGTGCGCATCTGTGCGCGTGCCAGCACTCATGGTTCGAGGTACGTCAAGCAGGAGGCAAAGCTGGTGTACCTCCTCAAGTGTTTGCAGAAGACACCTCCCCCAGTAGCTTTGGCGGCAAGGAGTCGACCTTGACTCATAAGCACAACGCTGATGACTGCCTGAGGTGCTGATCTTCTGTGAGAACAAGTCAGACGTGGATGATGTGCACGAGTACCTGCTGTTAAAGAGCGTCGAGGTGCCCCGCAATTCTTACCATGTCAGAGTATCGAGTTCTTCTGCTGGTTTTGAGTCTCCAACTGTACGAGAGGCACAAAGGTTAGGATTTGTCATGTGCACGTCTCGATCTTGGTCTGTCTTCTGCTGATTTTTCAGGGAAACAGGCCTACTCGTACAACATCCCACGGCTATCAAAACAGGCCAAGCCCACGGGGCAAAATGCGGGCAGGTCGTGGCCATCCACGGCGGGCTGGACCAGGAGGAACGCCACGAAGCTATCCGCTCCTTCAAGGAGGGCTCCAAGGAGACCTTGGGACATCTTAACATACAATACAATATAATACACTATTATAGAAGCACATCAGAACATAATATAATATAGTATAATTCAACATAGTATAATATAATATAACCAAACAGAGTTTAATATTATGATAGAATCTATAATATATAATATAACATAAAATGATGTAATAACCCATATTATAACATAATATATTACTATATATTATTGTATAGAACAAGATAGTCTGCATCATATAGCACATTATAACACATCATAGTACAGTATAATACGACATACTATGCTACAAGACAATCCAATCTTAAAAAGCATAATATGTCTTAGTATAGTCGTACTAAGTGGCGGCACAGGTGCCTCCCTTCATTCAGTTGTGCTGGTGCTTCGACACGGTGCTTCAGAGGACGTCTTGATCGGCACAGACGTGGCGTCCAAGGGTTTAGATTTCCCAGCTATCCAGCACGAAAGGAGCTCAGCACAGCTCAACTTCCTCCGAGTTCGGAGAGGGAGTGGAATTTTATTATTCGTGTTGGCTGCCACTGGGTCCAAGGTCATTAACTTTGACATGCCGAAGGAGATCGAGAATTATGTTCACCGAATTGGTCGGACAGGCCACCCGGCAAGCGTGCATGCTGGCAGTGGTGCTTGTCGGCATGAACACAGCATGCACAGCAAGCGATCCCGGTGGGGATGACGCCCAAAGAAATGAGTTCTTATGATGTTGGACATTCTTCCCAATCTCACCTAATTTAGGATCGAGAGCTCGATGCCCCTCGAAAGAATATCCGAATAAGCATGCCTGAGTATTACGAGTATGCTCGTTGGGTTACAATCCGCACAAACACAGCAGACGCCGATGCAGTCTGGAGGCTGCCGCTATCTCGCAGTGCTTAATGACTTAATGACTTCATGAATGTCAAGCCAGAGGCGAGCAAGAGCTACATTAGGCCTTTGATAAGGGGACAGGGTATGACTCACGCTGGTCTTGCACTTGACGTGGGGCGGATCACAATCACTTCTTCCTTGCTTCACCCAAGGGCGTAGGAAGTTCTGCTTCCGTGGGTGCTGATTCATGTCTTCATTCTCACGAGTTTGTGAAACATCTCGTTACATACCCCAAATGCTGTGGGTCACATGCACCGAGCACGAGAGCAGCTCGACTGACCATGCAGTACGCAAGCCAGAGAGAAATCAAGGTGAGTCTCAGCCCCCCCCCCCTTAGTGCTTGGAGTAGATTTGAGAATGTTAAACATTGCCTGGTTTCTTCACCCCTGATCCGAATTAACTCAGGGCAACTAATCCGGATCAATCCAAGTCACTTATCGTTTGGTTGTCCCTAGTTCGAGATGAATTTTCACTAGGTCGATGTGGACGAACTGGTGTGGCTACCACGTTCGTCAACAAAAACCAGGACGTGCCTGTGCTGCAGGTAAGTTCTACCAGTAGAAACAGTCCAGCTGAAGTCGGTACGCCCTGTAAAAATGTTGCATCAGCTAGTCGTGGTTATTCTGGGGCATGAGCGCGCAAGACTCCTTTATCATGCCGCTGGCCGCTGTTCAGCCCGTCGATGCCGTGCAACCAGTGTCCGCATGTGTTGTGTGCAGGGCATGTTATGCCAAGCCACAACCAAGCCAAGGAGACAATCTTGCTCGACTTGAAGGCTTTGCTGCTGGAGGCTGGACAGCACGTGTCCCGGCGCAAAGAACTTAAACGTTCGCGGTATCTACCCACGGATTCAACGACACTGTGTTTTCAAAAGCGTGACCGATGCTAGACAAGGTCCCTCCTTTCCTCATGACGCTCGAGACGGGTGGAGGGGGCAGAGAAGAAGAGGAAATTGGTGGTGTCAAGGCGAGTGAAGTACTTGATCAGCTGTGCAGTTGAGAATAAGTACACTTTATCCTGACCCATGCTGTGTCCAGGGCTGCGCATATTGCGGCGGACTTGGGCACCGCATTTCGGACTGCCCCAAGTTGGAAACGACAAGACAGAAGACTACGTCCGCCACGAAGGCGAGGTCATGTGCTGTTTCGACAGGTACTGTAGTGCCCGACGAATGGATTGTTTCGGACTGGAGGACTATCTCACCACAGGTGCTGCGCGCTACACGGGCGCAGAAGGCCGGCTTGGTACTGTACGGTTCGTCATCGAATACCCAAGCTGCTGGTTGTATCTGTTTGTGCCGGCACCCCTGGGGCTGGGTGGCAAGGGTTCGCGCTTTTTCGGGTCCAAGCGAACTGCAAGGCTACGCCGGCGACTGGTGAGCTTCGTGTCACACCCGTATGGAACACGAGAGGGCTGTGGTTCTATATCTCGCAGAACTTAGTCGATCCCTCTTGCAGCAGCCCTCGATGTGCAACAAGTCTCACTCAATCTCGAACGCAGAGTGCATCTGCGTCGGCCAGAAAGTAACAGCAACTTGCTAGGTACTGTTGAGCTGAATCTGCTCAAGACGGACTGTTCAGGATCTTGCGTAAAGGTTACGGCTCAACCCTGGTCATAGCCCGCCTCAGAGTTTACGAGTGCCTGCTTAGGCTGGGTGCTTGCGCAGAGGACGTGTCCAAGGCATGTTGGCCGCATCTGAGGCTTCGCATCGCATGGGGTACGATGCGTGGAGAGGCAGGCATTCCTGTGGACAGAAGCCGTAGCTTTCGGCACCTCGTTGCTCTCTCTCTCTCTCTCTCGCTGCCTTTTTCTTTCCCTGCTCGTGCATCAAGATCAAAGGAGGTGGCCTCGCATGCCCGCTTTCTTGGCTGGCGTGACTTGGAGGCTTGTGGAATACAGCAACACTTGCGTGAATAAATCACATGAATGTTGAGCTGAGGGCAGGGTGGACTTCAGGGGTGCCCCATGCACCGATCAAGAGAGTGGCGGCCGTCATCGGCTCAGGCATGTCTCACAGTGCAGGTGAGGACGCATGACGACACCTTGTGTGGCCGAGGCCTGGAATGCAAGCCGAGTGATCCCCGAATATCGATCGCCGGAAACAAGCATGCAATCTGGTCTGACGACGCTTCAATGGAGCGTCTGCTGGCCCATTAATAGATCTTTTTCTAGGGCCGTTGCGTGACCCAGGCTGTGTTTTTGTCACCCTTGGATGTCTCAAGGCACTGACGGCTTCAACTTCCATAGCTGCCTAGCCGCCGTTGGACGTAGCATGCTCGGAATGTGTGGTGTGCCTGAGCTCGTGGCTGTCCCAGGCTGGCAGGAGGAACTCAGTCTGCCGGGCGTTGAAAAGCTGAGCAAGGCTTGCTTTGGGCCACACTATTTTCCAGGTTTTTACCGGGTTTATCAACCGTGTTATGGCTGCATGATTGGAGGTCTCGATAGTCCGTGGGCCACGAGTTGGGCACTCGAATCGTGCAGGCAAAGGGTCCCTCGGCCTTTCGGTCTCTGAGGTGGTCAAAGTTCCGCCGCCGACGCTCCAAGCGGCAACCTTCGAAACCTTGACAGCCAGTTGTCCGGCGGGCCTGCTGGATGCGTGCGGCGCTCGGCGGACTCCTCCAACATGAGGTCGCGAAGCGAGATTTGGGGGGCAAAAATCGCGAGATTGCGAGAAAGAACAGGCTGGAGGCCATGCAGAAAGGTGGTGGCGCCGACCCGAGATGCAGACGACATAAGTTGAATAAGGCGCTGCATCAGCCCCTCAGGTCTGCCAGCCGCGCCTCCTGTTGCACTCGTAAGCAACCCACCGAAAGCCGAGAAAGGCGAGGCATGCAAAGCAGTTCGCTAAACCCTAAAGTGTAGGTTTCTGGGGAGCAGAGCCTGGCTTCTGAGAGGACGCTCGCCGCGCTCTCCCTGGATCGCTCGTCGAATTCGTGGAGAGACCCGGGCACAGCTAGCTCGGCTTGCTGTGGACGAGGCGCGAAGTTTCTGTCAGAAGCCTCCTAAGCCCTGGACCGTCGAGACCTTGATAGCACAACCCTTATATACCCTGTCTAGCAACCCTTATAGCACCCTTATGTACCCTGTCTAGCGACCCTGAAAAGTACCCCCTTGGGGCAACCCTTTTTGTAGTACTCTTTGAGAATATCTCCTCGATTCTTGCATGTATAGCTTGAGTGCATGCCTTTTTCTTGTGTAGACCCAGTGACGGCATGCGCAGGAAACTGTTTCTACTTTGGCCGTTGCTGTTAACTCTCGAAGGGCCCTTGAAAAAGTAGTGTCCGGAGTGCCATTGAATGCTAACCCCGTACCTATAGTCTCCATTGCAATTCCTTTTTGGCGATACCTTACAGAATCCTGAATCTATCATTGGTTAAACAAAAAAAGGAACTACAACGGAGACTATGGGTATAGTAACTTAGTATAGTAGCCCTTATTGGACTCCTTTTCAATCCCTGATTCGCCCTTTGCTCCTTGTTGCCAGGACTTGGAGCCGACGTCGCCCACGTCCCAGCCTTCAGAGGTCCAAGAGGAGGAAGTGGAGGCGCTGCGCACCCTAGCGGACCTCTCGGACAGCGAGCAGATGGGCTGCACTTATACATTGTTGCAGTAGTATGCCAGGCCAGTTCTGCTTTTGTTGCCAGACTTGTCGATACCTTCATTCAGTTGCCTCCGAGGCTTGGCAAAATCTGCAGAGGAAGCGCTTCTAAGCTGCATGGGCCGGGCGCCATTGCAGCTATGGGCGAAGTTGCTGAGCCACATAGGTGCCACTGTTCAAACAAAACCTGGAGCGGCAGAATTTGGAGCGTGCACAGCGCAGAAGGCGTGTGATCGAGGCCCATGCTGCCTGTAGCAATGCAGAAGACTCCCTGAGTTTCAATCGGCACGATTGTCTGTGTGCTGAGTTGAGTACTCTCGTCAAACCATTGGTGGGTTCTTGTACTTCTATTTGGCTGAGCCTGGCGACATGCACAAAAAACGAACAGACGGAAGGCGGAAGCGCAGAAAGCGCGTCGCTCTGCGGTTGAGTTTCGCCAGCGCCGCGAAGTCGTCAGTCCAGAGAAGCAGAAGGAGGTGCGATGAAGCTTGGGGCTGCTAGGCTCAGCGGAAGGTGCAGCGATTTTTGAGGTAACGCCACAGCCTACGGACGTCAGTGCCTGAGGGGAGAGCGAGACCCCATGGCATAGCAGAGAGCGGGGAGCGCTCGCGACGAGTCGAGCTGAGGCACGGGAGGCCGACAGAAACCAGCGCTTACAGCAGGCCGGGCGAGCGGGCGCATGTTTCAGGAGATCGGGCAATCGAGCAGAGGGCGGGCAGAGTTCGGTCAGGTGCTGGGAAAGCTTTCCGGCTCCATCCCCGTGACGGCAGTGGAAGACACGAGAGAGGCACGGGGCTTGGGCGTGAACCAGGCTGAGCTGGGCCATCCTCGCCAAACCCAGGGTTCCGACTACGAGGGCTTGATGAGTGGATCAGATTCCGAGGCACCTTGATACTGGGAATGCATGGGAATGCAGGGATGTTGCGCATGCAAAGAGAACTAGTTCGACAGGATGCGGACTCTGTCAAGCAGGAGCAGAAGAAGCTATCAGAGCGCTCCAAGCAGATTCGGAAGACCCTTGCTTTGATTGTGATATGGCTGGGATCCACTGAAAAGCCAGAGTGTATTGTGATATGACGTGCAGTCAGAAGCGCCCACACTCGAACGGCCTGAGCTGTGTCGTGAGGAGAGTCAAAGAGGCAGCCATCAACGGTATCCGTGATGCTGGGCTCAAGTCAAGCAAGCGCCTGGACTGTGCCACAAGGCGAGCGAGCTTACTCGAATAGCAATGCTTGACTGCGAGGAAAAGAAGAAGTTCGTTGATCGAATGAATCGAAAAAGGAGGTATCGAGAGGTGCACTCATGTCAAAAGTGAACAATATCATTGAGTTCATCATGCATGGAAATCTGTAGTTGTGAGGCGGTGTGGAAAGCCCTGCCACAAGCTGAGCGCGCAGCCACAGAGTCCGTAAGGTTCCCGGCTTCTTGAGCTCCTGAAGAGAAGATGACCTGTGTGACTCGCGACATCTCAGTGGTGATCTTGTGGCCCAAGTGGGACTTCAGGCCTTCAAGCTCCACTGCAACGAGTACTACACACTCACCGTCGAAGCCGCGCTAGATGCTTTGCGTGACATGGGCCTTCGAGGTCTGCTCGAAGTCCTGTGCAGGCGCATTCAACAGATTCTTCGTAGCAGTGCACGGTCAGGGCGCACGATGGTGGAGCGCATCGTGGTGGAGCGTGCAGTCACCTCCCTTGTGAAGGAGTTGATCAGTCCCTCGGCTCTAGGCCCTAGGCTTCGGAGCCCCCATGCCGAGAGGCACTTTCTACGAGTTCTTCCCAGCTAAAAAAGCGAAGAGCGCAGAAAGAAATCCTGGCCGCTGACAGGTGTGGAGGAGCAAGGCATCTCGGGAGCCTGGGGTGCTGCGCCGAAGGGATCTCCGCAGGTCTGGTGGAAGACGCCCAGGGAGCCGCTGATCTAATCAGGATTACCATATCAGCTAGACTCATAGTACTACAAATTTCCATACAGCTATTCAGAAATAATGCAACAAATCATAATCGTTTAATGGTGGGTTTGGAAGAGCTCTGCCAAGGTTATCAGCTCTTCCGATGGCGCGCATGGCTCAAGACAAGACCAAGCCCTCGCAGCCGCAGCAGCAGGCTTCCTTCCGCGTTGGGGTTGCAGACACTGTTCAGAGTCTTTGCGAAGCCAGACTTAGGGAAGAGTCCTTTGGATCAGCTTCAGCATGTGTCTTGTGGATTTCGCTGAGAGCATTTTGTGTGGTGCCGGCTGCGTTTTCTGTTCCCTTTTTGAGGCTCCTGATTTGCTAACACTCTCAGGAGCTAAGGGCCTTCAGGTGGTGGATTTGCTCCTGTATTTATTCCCTGTCATCCGGGCAGATTTGCAAAATCCAACGCCGAAGCAGAAAGAGGACCCACTGGAAAGGAACAAGAGGTCCAGTTGCTCCGAAATAGTGGCATCGCTTGTCAATTTATCTATGAGCCCGGGCTTGCATTTGGGACTCCCTCAAAAGAGCGTGTCGTTCGCATCGTGTGTGCTCGAAGCTTTCTTCGGTAGACTTGTCAAAAAAGTTGTGGCCACGGCCATGTGAGGGCAGCCCAGCTAGTTCGACGTTGAACTGCTGGTGAATCGGCGGGTGCAGGTGGTCATATAGCTTTCGCCGTCATGTTTGGAGCTCGTAACCAAGTGTGAGCTCCCGGATGAAACGAGACGCTCCGAGTCCATAGGCAGAATGTCAGCTGGAGTGAATCAGTTGATTGGTGGTGGAATTGCCAGGCCACTCTGGTTTACAGAGTTCTTGTGTGTTGGAAGTCAGCAAGAGCAAAACAAACACCTACCGTACACTTTTCTTGGGCCAGGTCTCACTCGCCTTAGTCTGCTTGCATGAGCAAGGTTCGGCGCAGCCATCATCATCGGCGAATGAGTGCCAGTCAGCCTCGGCAATCCTCAGTCAGCGCCCAGAGGCCCGGGCAAAAAGGGATGACACCCGGTTGGTATTCTGCTAAGCTCAGTGACGTCGCCTGGATTGTGTGGAGCCTTGCCTACCTTGTGCGGGAGTGAGAGTCGAAACCTGAACCCGGTGGCTTCAGGCTGCAGCTTGTTTTGAACTTGTGGCTTGGGGGGGTGCCGTGTGGGTCCTTCCTCGGAGTGTCATGGGTGCCCTGTGCTTGTACTTTGGAGTCTACGGCTTGGTTTGCGGTTTGTTGTGTCTTGACGGGCTCTGCGCGATCCTTGCAAAGCTGCACTGCCTTGAAGCGGAAGTGATGAGTTGAAGCACTGTTCTCGTTGCTGAGCTGAAAGCGCGTCACTTGGTGACCCAGTGGCGCAGAGTCTTTCCGTGCTGCCCACTGAAGCCCTCAGTTCGACTCAGCCCTGCTTGCTGTCACTGTGGCTTGCGATGCGGCGGCCAAAGCAAACCTTGTAAACAAACCTACCCTAGTGGGACAACAGCCCTTACGAGCAAAACGCTGCGAGCTCTCACGAAACCCTGAGAGCCCCTGAGGGCCTCCACGATCAAGGATGAGCGAGAGGCCGAGCAGGCCGCCAAGGTGAGCAAGTCGGAAGCTCTTTCCGGATAACTCCGGATATGTATTGGGGCACTGTAGCACATGTATTATCAGTGTGGTCAGTATGATTTGTCGTAGTATGCTTGTTATTGCCATTCCTGTTGTTCTGGTTATCGCTATTTTCCTCTTATTCTTGCGAAAGAGTGCGGGAGTTTTTGGGTCATTGCTAAGTAACTAATCATTATTGTCATTTCGTGTTGTTGTTGCGATGTCTCCTTGCAGAAGAACGACGGGGGGTTGTCGGGGTATTGACGGTCTTATTAACCATTGTGGTCATCGTTGCCATTTTTACTATTTCGAAAGAAGCAGGAGTCATTCGGGTTGTATATATATATATATATATATAGAGTAATTGTTGCAGAGTAATTTCTGATTATCATGATTCTTGCTGGTTCTTGCGAGAGAATCGGGAAGTTATTCGGGTAACGGTTCTACTGATGCTGTTATTTCTACTTGCTCTTATTCTTGTCGTTGTTGCAAGTTTCCGGTTTGTTGCCATGATTACAGTCGTTCACTGCTGTTTTTGTAACTACAGTATGTCTCTGAGAGCCTTCTGGGAAAGAGACCTTGTGGGGCGAGAGGAGCTTGCTGCAGTCCTCGAGCAAAAAACGCCGCAGCCGACCGGAATTCCAATCGAGGCTTTCGGGGCTGAGGCGCGCTCGGCTCCTAGTGACGACTACCTTGTTTCAAGGTGTCCTCCTTATAGAAATTGTAGTATGTACCCGATGACAGTAGATGACAGCACCCCTTCTGGTACCCTGGTGTAGTACCTGCGTTGTAGAGTCCCGGGCACGGGGCGCCGTTGAGGTGGTGCCAGTGGCGCGCTGGGAGCTCTTTGAGCAGAGGACGCGGAGGGCAACAGTGCCGTAGCTGTCTGTAGCTCTGGTGATTTTGCCAGGGCCGAGCTGCACTTCCGGCTCTTCGTCAAGGCTGGACTATTCTCCGCGTAAATGTTTTTTCCCTACTTTTTAAGCTCATTCTTCCACTTGTACGGGCATCCAGCAGCTTTCCTTCCCCTCTACCTCCTTGCGTACTCTCTGTCTTGTTTTGTTACTTGGCTTGCAGAGGAAATCGAGTCATCGCCGAATCCCAGCGGCATCGATTTCGATCAGTTTCAGAAGCTGGTGACCGCGCTCGAGCTTGACAAAGCAAAAGGCCATCGTTGCCAGGGTTGCAGGAGGAAGATCCTTCGTATCCCGGCAGGCCCGCTTCCACCAGCCATAAAGCGCGACAAGCAGATGAAGATTGGGCTCCTTGCCTACACTCTCCAATTTATGAACCATTATGAACCCCTGAGAGCCCTTTTGAAGGCCCGAAACCATCTTGGACCTGGAGATGGCGGGACGAAGAGAAGCTGCTAGAGGGGTGGGGAGGGGAACTGAGTGGTGGCTGACGCCAGGTGCACATCCGCTTGCTGCAGCTGGAGGAAAGGGCCGCGCGTGCCGCCAGCGCTAGGGAATGGGCGACGCGGCAGCTCATAAAGGGAAAGACCTCGAGGGTGTATGCTACTTCTGGACTGCTGAGGCCGTGGCGAAGCAGGCAAAAGTTGTGGAGAACCGCTTTAAAAAGCACAGGCCCACGTCGGTCGCAGTGCTTCTTTGTGTATCGACTTGAGGGAACTTTCTTGATCTGAGAGGCCGGAGCTGCTTTGGATGTGGGAGATGTTCAGCGTCCACGATGATGATCACTGCGGATTCCTGGGCCAGTTTGAAGTTCGGCGGCTGCTGAAATACATGGGCGACTCAGCAAAGAAGTCCAAGGTCTTCGGCAGGGAGTCTTTTTCTCTTCTTCCCTCGAGGCCTGGAGCCATACAAGCAAAGCGTGGCTGCCACGACTCTCGGCGGCTTCCGAATGCAGTCCGTGGGTTTGGACCCAATGCTGCCGCGCAGTGGCTCAGGGTGGACCACATCATCAGCCAGGTAGACGAGAATCATGATGATGAGGTTGACCTCAGCTTAGCATGCTCCGCGCCGCTTGTACAATTTCCTGCCTGGGCTGCGAAGGCAGCCCCATGCCGACTCAAGTTGCAGGAATGATCGCTCAGGACTTCAACGAATTTCTGCTTTTGGTTGACCATCTGCGGACATTCATGCAGCTTGGAGTGGCCTACCATGTGTGCATTGTGCAGTTGTGAGTGGTGTTGGTTTGAGTTGCGGTACAGTATCGTTTCGGATGTTATCTCAGGATGAAGCGGAGGCGATCACGCCTTCACAAGATCTATTTGAGTCTGGATTTGGACCAGAGTCTTGGATACTCTAGGCACGTCCAGAAAGCCATGTGGCACGGTGCCGTTGCTAACTGAAGAGTTGTTTGCAAGATCCAACTGGTGTGGCGCTGAAAATGCCGATCGTCTAAGAAACTAAGGAACAACTGCTTGGACTTCGACCAGATCGTGGCAGCTCTTGCGCAGGCCACGACGAGTCGGGTAGCGCAGTTTGCAGCGCAAATGAACATAATGATCTGTGCAGGAGGGCTTGCTTCGTTCAAGACGTGAGTACGCCCTGGCACAAGAACTTCTAGACGAGGATTTCCGTTCGGGTACCGTCGCTGCGGCCTTTGCATTCAGCGCTCTCTTCGCTCCTGTCTAAAGGAGTTTGATCTTCGAGCTGTGCTTCAGCCCAGCGGTGCTTTTGACGGAATCATTCTTTAAAGATCTTGTTCAATTGCTGATTGGGCTTCGACGGTTTCGTCGTCCCAGGCGAGGTTGACTCACCCTCCACAACATCCCCTCGCAGCAGCAGCTTGAGCCCTCGGAAGATGAGGCAGTGCGGTGCAGTGCTGCGCAATCTCATGCGACCTTTCCGCGGCTTCCCTGGGGTCAGGCAGCGCCAAGCGATGGCAGACGACGCGGGAAGCTTGCCTGCAGTGAACCCTGGGGTGCACGAGAGCCTTTGTCAAGTGACAGCGGGTCTGAATGGCTTTGAAGATTTCGCGCATTCGGCATACCTGACTAGCTCGAGTTGGAAGTCCTTGCTAGAAGGATGCTATTAGTTCAGGGACGAGTCCGTGAGCAACACGAGTTGGAGATGCGTTGTTTGAGGAAGTGTCGACTTTTATGGCTTCAGTCTCATCTACCAGCTCGTGTGGGAGCGTCTGAGCCAACTTCAGGCTGAGCGCATTTCTCAGGCCTCACTGGTCTAATTCGGTCTGACAGTGAACAGTATCCAGATTCGAAGAGCAGATCTGCCATGTTGCTTTGAACTGCAGGCAGCGAAGGCCCTGAACTTCACCATGACGGAGTTGGCAGATATCCAGGTGCTCTGGACTGCTATCTTTTCCTCTTGGTTTCCGGATGCTTGGGTTTCGGTGCTTTTGTTGTTGCGCTGCTGCCAGGCAGCTTTCGATGTGGCGGACCAAGATGGCGACGGTATGTTGACCCGCAGCGAGCTTCAACAGGCTAATTACCGAACTTGCATTTAGAGAGTGACAGCAGCGCATGTGCAAAACAGGTCTTGATTCCATTGGTTGCGCGGATGCCAGACGAGCAACAGCTCAAGCATGTCCTGCTGCTCGGAACAGAACAGACACGGCCACAGTGCAGCTCACTTCTTGGCGTCGTGGTGGGGGACTGGGGCGGACCGGAGCTGCATGGTTCGCCACTCCACCGAGGGCATCCATCGACGTCGAACGTAGTGAAGGTATTGAACCTTGGCTGATCTTGGCAGCTTGCCAAGTGCAAGTGGGGTATGTTGATGTGCCACCGCGGCACTGAGGATATCTTCGAGTTCTTAACAATTTTACGTTCCCTGGTGACCGGACCAAACGGCATGGTGCACATGTACAAGCCATTTTCCTTGATGGAGAATGTCCAAGCCTCAATTTTCCGTGCAGACTCTGGCATGGCTGCAGAGTTAATAAGGGGCATATTTCCAGAACTGTAGGTCTCGTTCGAAAAACAGCAAGAACTTCTTGGTGTTTGGCCGATTTCAGATTCGTATATCAAAAACCTGGATGCAAATGATGCTCGGCAAAGCATTAGAAGCCAGTTTTGCGAGCAGACTGTCAACCACTGCATGCTGTCACCTTTCTCGAGGAGCTCATGGAGATGTTGAGCAACTTTCTAGGTGTGCGACCAGAGCAAAACATGCGCGAGCTGCCTTATCCAATCAGCAGCTATCGGAAGCTCAAAGAGCGACTTCCTTGCATGAAACAGACGCGGCAAATGAAAGCATGTTCTGCAGCAGATTGCAGAACTTCTTGCCACACACTTGGAAAGACAGAGCTTTCCTGCAACCCAGGTTTGCTCTTCGACAAGCTGAGAAGGCTACACAACGACACAGGTTCTGAGCTTCGAAAGGGTGGCCAAAAAGCGGACGACTTCAGTGAACGAGACCAGCGGCCTTGTCAAAGACAGCGGTCTGATGCTTCAAAGAAGCTACTGGTATAGAGAGGTTGTAGCCGTAGCCACTGGGCTGCCTGTCCCCTTGTACAGATTTCTAGTCTCTGCGAAAGACAGCGGAAACGGATAGAAACGGTCAGGAAACGGTTAGAAGGCTCCAAGGCTCCACAGACCTCCGTTAAAAGTCACGGAGCTAACGAAGCACGTCGGTGAGGCCAGGAAGACCCTGCAGATCTCACGTCTCGAGGTACGGAATGGATCGGAATGGTAGACTCTCGCACAAAGCTCCTGAAGGAGCCTTTGTGTTTCGCGAGCTTAGGAAGGACGCGGGCTTGGTTGTGAAAAGTTCCAGTGCTGTTGTCATCTGTTGTCCACCACTGCCAAGCGCATGAAGAAGCGGCCACCGGCTAGAGGAACCCTGTTTGTCCGCGCGGTTTGCCAGCAAAGCCTGTAGCGGGCTGCTTGACACCTGCCAGCTTGAGCAGGTGCTTCGAGTTAAGCAGCAGTGTTCTTGTGCGTCGTGGTGCCTGCGATTGGAGACGGAATTGGTGGAAGTGGGCCGATGCCAGGTTGGCAGACGAAGTTCATGGCCAAAGCCAAAAAGAAGGACTGTAACACTTCTGGCATCGTGTCAGGTTTTCCAGTACCGCTTGAAACCGCATGAAGCCGCAAGGAAGTCGACGACTTTTCGAGTGGTATCTTCGCAAAGCTGACGGAGGACTCGTGCATCGTCGCGCTGCGAGCACTGGCGGGAGGGATGCATCTTCACGGGGAAACATGGACGGCACCGTTGCAAGGTGCTTGCTGGGGTTGCGCTGGGGGAAATTGAAGCCCCAGGACCACCTAGCCAGGTAGAGCAGAAGGCGCAATCCTTTATTTCCACCTCCCCTTCCCATGTAATTAAGGAGATTGCATCTGCAACACCGCACAGGTTACTGATACTTATAGGGTTATGGGATGCCAAGTCAGATCAATCCTTAATTTAATTACAAGGGCCAATCGGCCGGAACTGCACTGTTTGAGGCTCTGAGTACCGCAGCGTCGGAACCTCCCAGAACTGCTTGGTACCTGTGAGAGCCTCGAGCCGCTGGACCTGAAAGAAGCAGTCCTTGTATCTTGTGGATAATAGACCCGCAGCAGCTTTCCATACCGTGCAGATGCTTAGACATGTCGGACATCACTGAGCTATAGTCAGCCGACCCCGGTAGATTTCGCATTGACTTTCCGCAGGAACACGGGCAAAGAAGTGCCGGCGAAGAGTTTGCAAACGCATATGCCTTGGCAGTCCGTCGTGTTTTTGCTACTTTCCCTAGTGCGGGCTGAGGATGTGACCATCCTCTTCTGTGGATCGAAGAAGCCCTTCGCTAAGCATTGAGGAGTAGATGGATGGGCATCACGCTTCGGACTCTGCGCATATTATGAGGTCTGGCAAAACGTCACTAGTGGACCGGTTTATCAATCCGACCAAGGATGAGAAGGCTAGCCTGCTCATGGATTACAGATCGGTCTGCGCTAGTGCAGTGACAGGACCAGCCGAAGGCAACAGTCGCTCTGGTCAGCAACTTGGAGGGCAATGCCCCTGTGAATGTTTCAAAGCGCAGCTTGCGCTGTGGGGCACCGAGTGTTCAGGATTACAAGTTTGCCCGCTACGCAACGGACGGGTCATCGTCTAAAGTGTGCTGTACCCAGTTGCGTCCTGCAGGTGTAGCGTCCGCTCCCGGCCACCCCATAAGTCTCCAATACACGCCACTGAGGCTGGCGCACATTTATGACCTTGGCGGCGACGAGGTTAGACCATGGGCTTGCCGGAGTGCTTTGTGATCATCGGACCTCTGACAGAGCTGTGCGATGCCAGGCGAATGAAAATCTTCTGGGTGTCCCCGTTTCAAAGGCAACTGTTGGAAACCTTGTATTGGCGATAACGCAGCTGCCTGAGAGACAGAAGTAGTGCTTTGTTCTGCAGCATAACAGGCAGCACCAGGCTCAGTCATTTATCCGTAGATGCCCATTTCACGAGGCTGGACCTGTCGGAGCCTCCTGACTGCAACAGTCCAACCGAGTCCAACGCTTCACGTTGCAGTGATCTTTCTGCACGGCATAAGCCCTCCCGCAGTTTCTCAGGCCGCACAGTTGCAACCTGACGGCAATTCGGAGGGCGGTCGGCCTTGCCACATGCGTGGTCTTCAAGTTGGCGAAGACCGGAACAGTGTCAGGTGTGCCGAACTTGGAGAAGTGGTACTCCTGCCTTGATTGCAGTTTAAAGTGCGAAAGAGACCACGTGTGTTGCATTGATTTGGTTTGACTGCGTTTGTGCGAGGTTGCAGTTGCTGCGAAGCCACGTGGACAAGAGCTTGCAGATGTTGGCACAGGCCGGTGACCTGCAGTGGTGCTAACTATCTGTGACCGGTCCTGCCTCAAGTGAATGGAAGCTGCCGAGACATCTTTTCAGGAGAACCCACCTGGCTTGCTTCATGTTGATGCTCAACGAGCGCAATAGTCCCAAAGTGTTGTCCAGACTTGCTACGGAGAGCCACAGCGCTAAGGTTGCGTGCAAATGCTTACGCAGAGCATCCAGATCGCGGGTTCATCACGCCATTCCCGGTCCTAGGCTCAGTCGTGCAGTGCCGGGTCAAACGCATCAAAGACATGCGCATGGTTGAGCGCCTATTCTCTTGGCTCCGGCGTTCGGGCGTGCCGGGTTCACACAGACATGGCAGATTGCAAGCATGATGTCAATGTGGTGCACCGTCCCTGCCGGATGTTCCAAGCGTACGCAAGAACTTCGCAGCGCGAGCGCGCCACCCCACCAAGCCCACTGCTGTTTGAATCCATCATGTTGTCCTTTCAGAGACTCTCAGAGTCTTCTGACATCGTAGCGCCCGATCGCACGATTTCGCACGATCAGCACATCATCCAAAAGTGTTTGCAGATGAGGATCCTATGAGTATTTTGTCGATCAGCACTACGTGCACAGATAGGTAAGGGCTGCTTTCCCCTTGCTTGCCCCTCCAGCCCCCCCTTGCATTTTTGCAACATCCGCGCAAGCTTTTCCCAAAGCCTATCCTCTCCCACAGCCCGCGCCGAGAAGTGCAGGTTGTTTAGTTTCCACCTCAGTCTTTTCTAGTGGGTCGCTTCCCGGGCAGCCCGAAGGGAGTCGCTGCAGAGTCTTGGACTCTTGGGGCCCGAGATCTTTTTGGAAAGCAGAGCATAGCACCATTTTAGCATAGCCTGAGTCTGAGCATAGTGAGTATAGTAGAAGCATGTAGTCAAGCGTCATGCCCTTACATTGCCGCAGTGCGGTTTCTACACGTGTCGAATCTAAAATCCGACTCGATGTTGACATGAACATCTCGGCCCTTCCCTGCAATCAAGACAGAAGGAAATGAAGGAAACACCCGAGAGCCCAGGTTCATGAACCCAAAGCCGAGCCGTGCCGAGCTCAAACACAAATCCCGCCCCCTCTCAGCCCACACAAATAGTTCCTTGCAAAACGCCGCTCGCTTCCCTTTGTGAGCCCTTGTGAGTGACCTATCGGACCTGAAAGAGCTCCAACGTTCAGCCTCGCCTGTGGTTCGGCTGTTCAGGGCAAGCCGCGCCTTGGCCGCCACGAGCAACCAACTGACACGAGCTCGGCAGCATCCAAGGTGCCTTTGGTGATTTTCGGCCGGGGCCTCGATGTGGGCGTGTCCCTCTGCACAGCTGTCGTGGCTTCTGCATGCAAGCTCTAGATGTCTGTCGCCTGCCCCGCTCTGATGTTGGCTCGAAGAATCGGAACGAAGTATTCTTCCGATGAGTTCAGGCACCCTTGCCATGGCTTCGGCCATGCAGCCTAGCGAGCTCCCGCAAGGAGAGACACAGGCGGATCATTCGGAGGCCGCCCAACTCGCCTGAACCATCATTTCACACATCTTTCTCGCTTTTGGGGAGCTGTGAGGCCATTCAAAAGGCAGCTGAGAAGCTCGTTGACGTGGAAGAGAATCAAACAGCCACCTGACGGACCTGACCGCTCGATGCCATTGATCACAGAGCGCTGCACACAATCAGTGCTTGAGGTATTCCGACTGGAGAAAAGCTCCGTATATGGTGCGGGGCTCGTGGCAAGTTCCAAGAAAAGTAGGATCCGTAGGAGTCTGAGTTTTGATCTGACCCCAGGTAGTGCAATCGCTTTTCCACAGATCGCAAGAAGTTCTGGCTACAAGAGCATGCTGCCGGTCTGCATCTGTTATCGAATTTCAGGCTGACTATCCTGCCTGTTTCTGCCAAGCTTCGAGGTTTGTCAGCATATGGATTCGAGCTTACATGGCACTGGCACTCAACTATTTTGTCCAGATGGCGCTGGTGCCGGGAGCCCAAATGCGTGGCGCAGCGTGCCGTCTACTGTTGTTGGCAAGTCTGCTGTGCAATTGACCCGGCACACTGTTGAAATCACTAAGGATGTTCGTGGGTGGCTTGATTTGCAGTCAATGCATGTTGGCATGCAGCTCACATGTTCGGCTGTTGGCACGGTGAGCTTTGAGAGGTGAAGCAACCCAGATTATGAATCCTCTGGGCGGGCAGTCGCTCGGCCTTGCTATGCCTTGCTGAATGCCAGCGTGATGAAGAGCAGCTCCTCCTTTGCCGACCGTGTCTCCTCAAGGATGCATCTCTGTGACTTCGGTGCGGACCTGGACGTGTGCAAGGGACCGGATGCGGAGTTCGAGCCGCGCTGCACGGGTCCGGGAGGCCGGGAGACGTCGTAGTTGAGCGAAATGTGTGATGTTTTTAGAGACCTCAGAGGGAGGGGTTCAGGGAGAAGTTCATGGCACGCAGGCACCCAGTTCTCACCGTCACGCCTTTATGGCTATACACAGTGGGCAGTGCAGAAGTTCACCAAGCAGGCCTGGCAGCCTAGCATGACACCGTGTGAGGGCACGTCAATCTGCAAAGAAGTGACTTCTTTCCTGCAGTGTTTTTCTTTCGTTCTAGCAGGCGCTTCTGGATGTGATGCCTGACCAGGACTCGGAATTGCCTGCTTGTCTATGTTCTCAACCCGGCACCGCACCCCATCCACTCCTGCATGCCCGACACGATTTCAACCCAAGCAAACTGGCCCGAACCGTGCTCGAAACGGACAGCAGACCCTGCACAGCGGCAGCTTCAAGCCGAGGTCTGCCACAGTCAGGTTCTCGAAGTCGCTTTCGCCCACCCTTTCGAAACGATCGCATTGGCCTGGTCGCAATGTTGGGGTCAGTCTAGGAGTCTAGCTGACGGGGAGACGTGATGGTCCTCACCAAAGTGGCCCGTGGCCGCTTGCCTCCGCCGATCGGCCCCCGAATGTTCGCTGCCGCCATCTCCGCCCGCTCGACCCGTATGCTTGTTCGTGCCTTTTTTTGCCTCAGGGGAAGATCCAGATGCTGTTCTGATTGCCTGCCCTTTCGGCACAGGCAAGAGCGGAACTTTAGCTGCTAGCCATGCCCACTTACAAGTAATATTCTGCAGATCACGCCAGCCGGTTCGGTGAGATGTGTGAAGCTCAGCGTCGGGCTCCATTCTGCGCGTCCGATGACAGCTTCACCACGAGCTTCTTGAAACCGTTTTCCCTTTTTCCGGCGCAATTCTCTGCATTTTTGTGCGCTCTCTTGGACAGAACACCGTCGAAAGTGACGCCGTCGAGCAACATTGGTTGTTGGCCTAGGTTACGGGTTGAACACCCGACCACACATGCAAGCATGGGGCCCTACAACTGGGGCTCTCGTGCCCACCAGTTGATGAGTGCATGTCACTGAATGCAACCCGACCTTGTATGTTAATGTCGAGACTGCCTAGACTTACACAGTTTGCGAATTTTGTCGCCGGTGGTGTCATCACTCTCAATGGTGCGCCTGATGTATTTTCGCCATCAGGAAGATGTCATCAATGAAAAAGTTGATCCCGGAGAATACGGCATGGAAAATTCAACCTGCCGCTGGCTGTGCTTGCTTCTCTTCGTGATGTCGGTGAATCACGAGCCACTTGGCGGCTCTGGCTAGAGAGGGCGGTCCTCGTCTCTACGGCAGCTCAAAGTCTGGGGCACCATTGCCGCAGCATCTTGCCCCCACCTGCTGCCCGAGGATTCAAGTTTGCTTCCGCATGCTGGCAATGCTTTGGCAACTGCAGCTTGGCGGTGCAATGCATCAAAATCGCATAGAAGTGTTATGAGCTTGCACCACTGCCCTTCAGCAGCGGGTCGGTCTGCATTCATTCGGGTCTGAGCAGTATGCGAACATGCAGAGTGCGCTCCATGCGGCTAAATTGCTTGAGTGGACACTTATAGTACTGTAGTGTTACTTCTATAGCTTTAGAGTATTATAGTACCTGTCGCTTTTCGGCCGTTATTCCCAGGCCCAGCGATCCAGAGAAATGCCACTGGATCGAGAGCAACTCAAATTCCCAGAAGTTTGTCTTTCGCATCTTGGCTCACGGCTTCGGGCACCAGAGCATCTATTTTTTTTATTATTGTCATTAATATTCATTATTGCTATTACCATTATTATGATTTTGACTATTCCCATGATGGTGATTATTACCATTAGTATTACTATTATTATCGCTATTGCTATTCCTTTTGCTATTACCACTGCTATCAGCACGATGCTTCCTGGGGCAAGGTATTGCAGGAATGCCTTGTCACTGGAAGCTGATCACCGGCATCGTTGTTTTCGTTCCCAAGCTGGCATTGTGTTACTTCGCCCCGCGGCTGGAAGAGTTCCCCGTAGTTGAGGGGTATTGAAGTGGTCAGGAGCCAAGGGCTGCTGAGGTCATCCAAAGGTTCTCATCTCTTGAAGCCTCCAGGCGCTGCATCGCCCCGGACAGGTCTTGCTGGAGGGCACGACCCTTCTCTTGGACACATCCGGAATTTTGGACACTGTCCTCGGGGCCATGTCGATGGCCTTCATCCTGGAAGTCGATGAGATGCTGTGTCTAGACGGACTGCGAAACCGCAGGGTGCGGGATATCGATCCGAGTTTTAGCTTCTTTGGCATCTGAGGCATGACTCTATGATTACGCATGCCGGCCGATGGGTCCTAGACAACATGCTGGACTTCCGAAAAGAACACCTCGCAGACAAGGATGAAGAAGACGGCAAGCAGTATGTGTCTTCGGCAAGGCGGTACAACTCGGACGAGAAAAAGGATGGAACAACAAGTGAAGGCACTGCTGCGGGTACATGCTTGTCACGCGCTCACAGATTGAACATGTTTAGGATACCAGAAATCGTTGAGACAAATCTCCTGACTGCCCAAGCTCACTCAACACCGACCTTGGCACCAGGGTGTGTAAAGTGAAATGTGCAACCACGGAAGGAAGGAAACCGGGGTCCAGCAAACACACAGCATTCACTCTCAGCCAGCTGCCGTTGCTGCAAGGAAGAAGCAACGAGGAGAAAAAGCTGGTGAACAGCTGTCCGCTTATTCGCATCTGCTTTTTTGCCTGATGCACGGAAGAGTGCCTACAGCATCAGCATATCTTGAAGCGGCTGTGACGGCGGGCAGCGACATCTCGGCGTAAACCCCGCCTTCTGCCCGTCCACGCTCACCTCCTGGGTTGCCATGTCCGTTTGCTTGTATTGTTTCATTGTCATAATGTAGTCGCAAGGCATCGCAGGGGTCAGCTTTCGAAGGCGTCAGAGCATGGAAACAACGCTCTGAAATTGCGGTCGCGCCTCAGCCTGATTCTTCTTAGAGGCCCTGCGGCAGTCGGACGTCTTGAATGTTATTAAGCTAAGACTTGTTCTCGCCACTGCCAGTCGGCCGGTCGGCGGGTGTTGCAGATTTCGTCAAACTGTACAGGAAGTATTGACACCTTAAGCAGAGGACTTTTCACCGCTTTTGCTGGTAGAGTTGTCTGACTGCCACAGGCTTACACGTCAGGTTCTTGCTTGTTTTGCTCATTGCTATCTCAAGCAAAACAGCACAGGGACCTCTTGGGCCAAATTTCAATCTACGCAGGAAGAAGTATTTCAGATGCCGGACCCTGGGCGTGAAATGCAGGTAGAGGGGGGTGGTGCAAGAACGCCCAAAGCTGCAGACGGCAGCATTAGCGGCCCATTAGCGGGGTACTACGCTTTAGTACGCACGCAAACACGCGCCGCGACGAAGCAGTGCCTTGTCACATGGTTCAGTCATGTTCCGTTCAGAGTTCAGCCTTCAACTGGAGTCCCGGAGGTTTGTCCGCACTTCCGAGAGAAGCCGCTGGGCTGCATCTGCCACCGCCCCGCAAGGCATGCCTTGTGACGCGACTAGAGCATAGCCGAGGAGCCCGGTCAGGAACGGAAGGGCAAAGACGCGACATACGGTGATCTCTTCAGGCACCACGAGAAAAGCGGAGCCCAATATCATGGGCATTTGGCAGGGGCTAAATGTGCGGGGAGAGGGAGGTGCTATGCACAGTGCCCGTTCGAGCGTCCATGATCAGGCAGGTGGTGCCACTACGCCTCATCATGACCCTTGCACCTCGTCTCAAATCCATCCGTAATGTGGGGCCATGGGAACGGAGTTGTAGCGCCAAGCTTTGATGAGTGACTTTGAGTGTGAGCCAGCTTTGGCTCGTACTTGGGTGTTGTTGGGAGGTTGTTTGAGCGCCAGCCCGAACCGGTTAAAACAGCAGTGTCGGCCGGAATCGGTGTCCCACTCTCGGCCGTTGACCGGGAGTTCCTGGTGAAATCATGCACGCAGCGGCAATGAGGGCATGTCGTGCAGACCCGATTGAGTAGGGCCGTGGCATGATCAGAAGCTCAATGAGCAATGCAGAGAAGTGTCTGAGCACGCCCTACCAGCTGCAACAAGCCAAAGCCGCAACGACCGAGAAGGGGTAACCTGGGCTGCATGAGGACAGCCGATCACGTGCCAATGCCCAATACCTCGACGGGCAGGCGGCGCACACCCAAACGGGCTGGCGCTTTAAACGGAAGCATTCACTCTACAAAAGGGGAGAAGGCATAGCTGTAGATCTCTGCTTCAAAAAGCCACAAGTGGCCGAAGATTGTCCCAAGTGCGAGTCCAAGGTGGTTATGGCTATCTTCACCGAGCGTTACTATCGGTGCCTTGGCTAGCTGCTAGCTGCCGTATTCGATGCCAGCAGCAGCAAGGATAGGTTCAGCAGCTTACCGGCTCAATGCATTAAGTGGGTTACTCCCTGCTGCTTCGTTACAATGCGCGTTCCGACGATGCTCTGCTGCGCTGCGTGTTGTGACGAGACATCTGCGCCGTAGCTCAGCATGTTTTGCAGACGGTCGTCTCGTGCTTCATGTGCCTGTGCTGCCCAATGTACTCCTCAAGGAGAGTTGCTTGCGAGCTTGAAACGGTGCCTCCCACAATGCCCTACTAGTCTCACTGAAGGTCGCATCGAAACTCTTCGTGAAATAGTCGAGATGTGACCACTCACGACCTGCATCTTCCTTCATGTGAGAGGCTCTTGTGCGGTTGGGACAGAAGATTGGTCAAACGTTGTAGGCCATTGCAGGCTGTAGCCGAAGGCAAGATGGGAACGCACCGTGATGTGACAGGGTAAGATCACGGTTGATGGGTGCCAGAAAGCTTGAAAACACCAGGTGCGAACAGACCTTCAGTCCAGGTTTGGCTGTGTCCGTGCGTCCTGTGCTCAGCGTGTCAAACGACAGCTCCGGAGCTCCGGCTGTGAGGTTCAAGTGCGTCTACAAGGCCGCTCTCGTGAAGCATGCAAGTGCAAGCACGATCCATGTTGCGACTGTGGAGGCACCGGGCAGCCATTCCGTATGACAGATTCAGTTGTGCTCGGAGGACGAATTGGGCATGTGGGTCTCCAAAGACATGTACACGCCGCAGAGAGCCTCTTACGGGCTCACCGATTTCATGTTCAACGGCTTCTTCAACACGGTGGCACAGCCGCAGTGAAGCTCTTTGCAGCATTTGCGCAGCAGGCTAGCAAGCATCTACCAAGCTCACGAGTGTATTTGAGGTGGGACATGACAGCAACTCGCCATTCTGGAGTATGCCGACGCCTCCGCATCTACTGAAATGATCCCCACAACCCCAGCCCGCCTTAGTGGGCAGCAAGGGCCGGCACTGCCGCAGCCGGGCCTTAGTTGCATATCTGCAATGCGAATCGGCTTGTATGAAATGCGCATCGCCAGTTATCGCCTTAGACTTAGAAGTATTTCCAGCTTGTGCTTGAAATAGCGCAGCGTGACTGTTCCTTTCAAGGCCTGTGAATGCTCGGTTCTTTTTAGTGGTGCTGCGATCCACTGAAGCAAGACGTCCTCACAGAGCCCTTCCGGTTTGTGTCCTAAGAGAGCACCACATGTTGCAGCGTCACAGGGCCGTGCTGGCCAATTCTTCTCTGAAGTGGAAAGGTCTCACGTACAAACTTGCGTGTGTATTCAGATGCAAGTGAAAGCAAGATCTCGCTGGCGTGCTTCAGAGATTCCTGATGCAGGCCACAGCATGCGGTGCGGCTGAAGATGGCTTCCATTACAGATAACCTGTTGGGCTCAGGCACGAAATGGGATGTGCTGGCCTCCGAAGTTGATCCCGAGAAGCGGAAGAACCTGAGCAGAGCGCCGTTGCCTCTTCTGACTCGCTCAGATATTGTCTCGAGTGAAGAACTGCAAGGCTTCGGCACTATGCCCTGGTTCACGGCGCACATTTGGTCCTGTGCTCTCTCAAGGAGCCTAAGAGCCTCCTGCTCCTCCTCCTCCTTGTGGCCTCGTTTTTTGTTCTTAGAATGCAACAAAGAGGAGAAGGCCTCGATGAACGCCATGCGAAGCGTCCTCCGGCAACTGCTCTTCGGCGTGGCCCCCAAAGGTGCTGCCCTCGACACTCAGCGACACGCCGGTTTTGCTCGCAGCGCCACGGACGAAGCGAGAGATGTTCGCGCCTTTGTTGTTGCAGGTGGCCTGCCCGAGCAGCTGGACCACTCAAAGCCGGTTTGCGTTGCTGCTGGGAAGGAGAGCGGCGCATCGCAGCACAAGCAGCTGGCAGGTGACAGGTGCAAGAGTGTAGTGATATGGCATGCAGGACTCCGTTCAAAGTATTGGTCTTCCATCCGGTGGCCAGGTAGTCCAAGCGGTCCGGATTTCGAAGGACGCATGTACTCATCCTCTGCCAGGCAAGTGAGAGAGCCTGGCGCGAGTTTATGCAACATCTCTTCCCGGACCCCTCGTGCCAACCCTAGCCAGGGTTAGGTTCGTCCCAGCAAGGCGGGAGGCAAAAAGTACTAGCATAGTAGTGACCCGAGTTGCCGAAAGATGATTGAATGTATGACAGAAGTGCCAAGTCTTCTGTGCCCAGTCTGAGCCCTTAAGGCCTTCTTCCAAAGGCAAGAAGAACGATACAGAGCAGGCACGTGCTCGGGGGATGTTGTTGTCCACATCTCCGGTCGACTCAGCCCATGACATCTGCAGCCGCTTGACAGCACAGCATCTAAAAGTGCAGTCTGGAAGAAGTCGAAGCATCAGAAGAAGAATCTGCCGACGCTGGCACCAGCACAATGGCAGTCTTAGCATCCGAGCCCAGAGAACACGAATGCTGGAGCACGGAAAGCAACTTGCAACCATTTGCAATGGGTGGTTTGCCAGATCACGACGATCTCCGCATTTCTGTGCGCAGCCTGGCCGGGGACATGCTCTGCTGCCTTGCTGCGAATCGGCAGGAACCGATCGAGGCCGTCTGTGACGAACCCTGTCATGCCACCGTGAGTCATGAGGGAGACGTCGAAGAAGGCGGCCCTGGCACGAGGCGCTGAAAGCCTTGGTGGCGGCAAAATGCGGCATCTCGGCCTCCGAGCAGCGACTCGTAATCGACGGGCGGGAGCTCCAGTCGTTGAAGGACAGGATGTCAGGCATTCAGCCGTACAGAAGCACCAGTGAATGTCTGCAATGAACTTGGAGGATCTGTCGCCTGACATAGAGCTGGACATTACTCTTCTGCGCCGTCCGGCTGCGCAGGTGGAGTGGCTGGAGAAGATTGCCCAGAAGGCTCAACGAGCTTCAGCATGGCAGAGTGGCAGCCGGGCTCTCGTAGGCGGATCTGTCGAAAGCGCCGGACCTGATCAGGACAGCTTTGCACATTTGGAGCAGCTTTTTATTGTCTAGGGGGGGTGCCGTACTTCTGCTGGGGACGACCGAGAAGTCCTGATGACTGCCGTTCGTTTGGATGATGACGCGCTGCAATGGGTGCCAAGCTCAGGATGCTGTCGCAGACTGACTTGAGTCCTTTGAGAGCTAGTGCGGCCTGAAACATAAACAGAGGCTTCACCAGGTCTGCTTGGCGATCGGGGCCTGGTGCTGGAGGCTGTGCAGAGGCAGCGGTGTTGAGAGAACTCAGGGACATGTCGTGGTCCCAGCCGTTGCAGGTGCGGTTTCGCGCTGGCGTGCGCGGATCGACCATTGCAGGCAGCCCCGAGATGCTTCCCTCTGCCGACTTGGACCGTAGCCGCTGCCTCTGAAAGCTGTTGAGGCAGATCGTGAGGTGGTGCTCGCTGCCGTGGCTCGACATGGCCTATCATTGGAATTTGCAGTGCCAGAACTTCGTGGCGATGCGGAGGCGCGCTTCTTGCTTTGGTGTTGCTTGTCCCTGTTGGTTTTCTGCGTGCTCACTGCGCTAGGTGGTCTTGACGTCTATTGGGCAGGATGGCAATGCGTTTCAATTCGCCAGTATGGACCTGCGCTGCAACCGGGACTTTGTGTTGCACCTTGGCAGCTGCCGGTGTCCACAGGCCAAGGCGGGAATCCAGGCAAACATGGATGACATTCGAAGGTGAGGAGTCAAAGTCAAGGTAGTAGCGATGTCTGGTCAGAACTTCGCAAGACAGGGTCTCCGGGAAAGCTTGGTGTTCTGGTGTTTGCGCCTAGGAAGTCAGTGCGCCGGAATGGATATGCACTGACCTACGCCAGCCCGGAGCTGCGTGGAGACCATGAGGTTGTTCGCGCAGCCATTGAGACAATGGGCTGGACACCGTGCACTTGTGAAGAGATATCTCTTGGTTCTACATCGTCCCCAGAAGCTAGAACTCCGGGTTATGTGAGGCATGTATCGACAGGTGGAACGTTGTAGTAGTTAGTGGTTTTGTTTTGTTATTGTTCGATCCAATGGACAACTATTGAGTCAATATAGGTGCGGAAATCGTTGTATGGGTAGTCCTCAGGAAGCGTTCGGAGCGTGGAGAGCCGAAAGCACCAGCCGACCACGGAAAAGCAACGAAAAGCAAACCAAACCGATCGCATCTCTAGGAAGCCACATGCGAGATGCCCAGACAGCCAGCCAGCCGCCTTGGAACGGTGTGTTGTGAGAGCGGTGCAGCTGCACAACGCCATGCCCGTGGCCCCGGCCGACTCTCTTCTAGATTCTAGGCCCCAGGCCCCAGGCCCTTCAAGCTTCATTGCCCGGAGTCTTCAGCGTCTGGCTTCAATTCTTGAGCTTGTGGCTTGTCGGGGAGGATCTGCGAATGTGGGAAGCAGGTGGCCCAGTTTGGCGGCTGGGCCTTGCAATGTGCAGACCGGAAGTTGCAGGAGCTTCATTGCTTGTGCCCAGTGCTTGGACCTTGACTTGCTCGTCTGAGCTCTGGTGTCCCAAACCCACAGGCCGACCGTGCTATGGTTCTTTCGGCAGTCCGCCGCGACGGCGCAGCGTTGGCCTTTGCCAGCCCGGATCTCCAACACGATGACGAGGCGGACTGCAGACACTGTAGACGTCACTAGAGTTGTAGAAGAAATGCCTGTGTGTCTGCAACAGCTGCCCGCCGGGTAAGCTTACGCAAGACGTCCGTTTCCCTTGCAAACCATCGTGCTACACTTTCACAAAACTTTGTTCGCCTGCTCTTTGCCGCTCTATACATGCTGTATACTGTATACTGTATACTATACTTACTATGCAACATGAACGGTTTCGAAAGGTCGCACGACGTTTATTACAGCAGCAAATCAAATCGACATGCTTGCAGGTGGTGCTGGCAGCTGTACTCGAGTCGGGGATGGCATTGGAACACGCTGCTGTGCCCTTGCGCCACCGAGCTCAAGTTGAGAAGCACAAGCTTGACGGCATGAGCTGCAGAGGATCGGTTTTCGGGGCTTTGGGAGGTGACGATGAAGCTATCGTCCTTGCAGCTGTGCGAAAGCACGGTGCGGCCTTGCGCTTCGCTTCAGCGCGGCTTCGAGGCTCCCGCGAGGCCGCCAGGCCGAACTTGAGAGCTGCAAGGTCTGGAGAAGGGGGGGCTGTGGATGGCTGTGGCCACTGTGGCCCGTGCTCTCTTCAGGTTGTTCTGGCAGCCGTTCGCTCGGATGAAACAGCCCTGACTTGGGCCTCAGAGGTGCCAGAATCCGGATCGCAGATCGCAGCTCATCAATGCACGCTGTCCAGATAGCCTGCGAATCTCCTTGCAAAGTACTGTAGTCACTACCAGCCGAAGAAAAAGAGTCTCCGATCTCAGCTGCAACAATCCCTGACAGGAGCTGCGCTCTGACAAGTTCGTGCGCCGAACTGCACGGCGCTGTGCGCAACTCGAGCGATCGCGTTCACGTTCACGGAGCCTCAGCAGGCGAGTACTTCAGCAGGATCTGGCTGAATGACGACAAGGAGCCAGTGGAGATGCTGAGAAATCCAAAAGGCTCCCGCCAGGATTGCATGCCTCCTGGCTCGAGCGTGATCGGCTTCGACATTCCCTGATCTGAGCCAATGGTGCCACCAGTGGTATGGTTCTCCAGCACGAGAGGCGTCGAAAAGATCCGCAAGGAGGGGCGGGATATCCCGCCACGCTCGATGCCTCGCAGCGGCATCTTGTGCACCAGCCTGGATGAAGCATATCCGACAGCTTGCAGCGCAGAACGAGGGAGGCACTTTAGCAGACCGCCCTTGCGGTTTCAGGCCTTTCGACAAGCCCAGATGCAAAAAGGTCTGCAAGGAAAAAGATCGCAACAGCACCTGCTCCATGCGCACCGGATATGCCTGTTTCGGATGCATGCTAGATGACTACTCGGGTGCCATGGGGTGAGGTGGCCGAGGAACTTTACAAGTACCCAGAGAGCAGCATTGATGGCATGGTTGAGCAGAGGCGGGACTCCCAGCACTCAGGAACTGTGCCACAGTTCCCGTGCCAGGGTGGAGGAGCTTCAGCAGTACCGACGGCAGGCAGCTCGCGGGGTCTAAATCAACGTGAGGCAGGTGTGGGGCGCGGCATAAAGAGGGTTGCCGCTGGCGTGGACCGACCTCACACTCAAAGGTGTTCGCGGGAGTCTCTCGCTCTCTCTCATGGTCACCGGGGGGCTGGGGCTGTGGGCCAGCGGGTGGTGTATTGAATGGACATGTGGGGTGTGGGCAGATAGGATCAGTGCATTGGCACATCACCTGCTGCCTTGTAGGTGGATCTGACTTGGATACATCCGAGTGGCCTAAGCTGTCCATGCTGCTTCCAGCGCGAAGCATGCCAGGTCGAGCGTAATCAGCGCTTGGCGTCCGAGGGCATCGAGGGCAACAAGGCTAACGGACGCACTTAGGCGAATGTGGCCCCAGTCGTGCAAAACCAGAAACCAGTAGCAGGTCTCGGTGCTCAGTGTTGCTGCATAGCTTCACGGCACAGGCAGGGGCTGCAGCATACTCTGCCAAAGTTCGGGATGCGTGACGCAGTGCTTACGGAAGTGATGTGTCCGGCTTTCTTGCTCAGGCTTGGCTCATTCAGAAGCATGAACGTACAATTTCGCATCGCAGAAGGTCAGATTATCAGATTAGTCATCGCAGCCGCACATTTTGAGAGGAGGCATCGTTCAGGCCCCGCAGCTAGGACCAAGGCGAAGTATTGACGGTTGAGCCAGGACCGTTTGTCCAAAGCTTCAGATGCGGTTGCTACAAATGAACTGGGAGCCGCTAGCTATGGAATGAGCCGAGCCTGCTTCTCAGCATCTTCAGTCAAGTACACATCACGGCGGAGTACTGCGGACTTGGGCAATTTGCTTCGAGCTCCTATGCCTCTGCCCGTGCTGACATGTAGGGGTAGGGGCTGCTGGGCGCAGGGGTGAAAGAGGCAGCAAATCCTTGTGTGTCTTGCTGCTTTCTTTTTCGACTTGAGGTCTTGGGTGCCAAGCTTGTGGAGCCAACCGGCGACTATGCCTACAGCCTCGCAGATCAGAGCCCGGGCCAGGCGACTTCCGTAGGCTTGGAGCCCGGGTTGGATGTCCGATGCCTGGGTGCCGTGGCTTGTTGACCTAGGCTCGGTCGACACAGATGTGCAAAATGCCCAAGTCGCTGACGAGCTCGGCCGGATAGAGGACATCAACCGGCAACTGGAGGCCTGATTTCGAGCACACTCGCAGTCTGCCACTTCAGTCAGACACAGAGCATGCCGGTTGGTACGCAGGAAAAGAGGAGGCGGCTGCAGGAGTTGGATGAGACCCTTGCTTGGTTTGGCGAGCCTTCAATTCGTGTAGGACTTGATCTGCACAAAGGTTCTATGAAGCAAGAAGACAGCAGATACAAAGAAGAGTGCTGGACAAGCAGGACCAGGCCCTGAGGGTCAAGCTGCATACTACTAAAATACTATTATACTATACCGCGACTTTTCTGTTTGCCCTGCTTTTGCTACCACACTACTTGGTAACTATGCTTCTGCATGTAGTGGCTGCTGTTTCTCAAAGCTTTGGAGCACGAGGTCGACGTGTGTCGACGGAAGTCCTTGATGTATCGCTCGTCCCCAAAGTTCAGGACTCCTCGCCAGAGCCTGTCATTTGCAGCTCGCAGTGATCGTGCCTGTTCAGGATGAGTGATGGGCCGCCAGGCCCCATGCTTTGCAGACTCTCCTCAAAAGTTTTTGTTGTTGACCCTCCTGGCAGGTTGTCGCTGTCTTCAGTTTGTGGACGAGGCTTGGTTTGATGGAGTGGTTGCCTTGGTGATTGTGTCGAACCTTCTTCTGATCGTCATGGAGCCCCTTGGTTGTCGAAGTTCGGCAGTGAACACTTCTTGGTGGTGCAATGTGGTGACCATCCATCGGCCGGAGCTGAGGTTGGCAGACAATACCAAGGTGAGGGAGTTCTTTTGGAGCGACACTGCAATTCTTGTCTTCTATATCGTGGAGTTCGGGGCTCGTCTAGCCCTTCACCACGAGGACGGCATGGGACTGCACAGCCCAGCAGACGTATGCATGGATCGAAAGCTCAAAATTGCCCAGGATCTATTGATTGGGCCATGCAAGCAGGTTTGGACATTCTGGGTTGACATGCTGATCATCTGTGTGGGGGTGCTTGATCTTTGGCTTGGCCAGGAGCTCGGAAGGAGCGGCTCGTAGTCGTAATCTTTGGGTTCAGCGTTGGTCGTTTGAGGCCCACTAATCTTTGGTGCTGATTCGCCAGAATGGACCTCCTGGTTGCAAGGCCTACGGGCGGTTCGTGCCGCTCGGCTAGACCCGGCCTGTACCCATGGCCGAGTCACCCGCAGTCGGCCTCAGGTCGTCAAGCTGTTTCGACTTCTGAACGACACTTCTTGGGCAGAAGAGCGTGGTTTTCAGCTCTTCATCCTTGCAGCCTTCTAGCAGCATTTTCTTGTGGCAAATTCGGTGGGATCGGAAGCACCTCTGCTGCTCAAGGTCATCCTTTTGAATGCGGCGATGATTGGTTTGGAATTGAGCTTCCCGAACTTGGGCGGCTGGAGGTGGGCGCGCGGTTCATCGGAATCGGAATTCCCAAGCCTTACGAATACGCCCTCCTGTCCGAGAGGCTTCTTGACAACTTGTTACTTTCGGTTTTTACCTTTGAGCTCATTGTGCGCATCCGCAACTCGGGCTGTCGGCTTCCTGGCCGCAATGCGGAGTTCTGCTGACGACTGGCCATTGTGATTGGCATTGTGCTGATGGATGCTGATGGCACCTCCTGAGGTTCTTTCATGACCAGAATGAAATCTTCTACAACTGGCTGGACCCTGGGCATGTTCTCGGGGATGCGATCAGCTTGAAAGCTTGCCAACGGCAACAAAGGCTGCAGCGCACGCTAGGGGGAGGTTTCTCACATAGACTCATAAAGAGCTTTCGAAAGCATCTGACGTTCTTTGCTCTAATGGCTATGGCAGGATTTGCTCATCGTGCTGCTGGGAGTTGTCGAACAGTGGGTGCTGCCCGTGGTTGGCTTCTCTCTGTACATGAGCGGAGCTGTGGAGGACTCCGGATGCGTGCTGGGCATGTGCGCGCTGAGTAGCCGCGCAGCTGAGGAGGCCCCCTTCGCAACAGACAAGCCGCAGACGCAGGCTATGCGCTTGCTTCGGCTGGCAAGGCCAGTTGATCCGTCCGGAAGACGGACACAATCGCGCAAATGTCTTTGTACAACAGTCCCTGGCTTCTCCGACAGTGCGTGCGTGTTTCCCCTCCCTTCCGGTACCCTCCCATGTGCTACTCAAAGGGTTGTCCCAGAGTCCCAGAGCATCTCTCTCAGAACTGTGTGTGGTAAGGACCTGTGTTCCGAAGCATCGTTGACCATCCATGACAAACGAACATGCTACCAGAGAGTGCGATGAACAAAGTGCGAGCGTCAGGCGTCATAGTGACAAGATCCGTGTGTCGACACGAGAATGTCCAGTATGCCAGAGCACTGGGCTCATGTCAGCTTTTGCAGTTGCTTGCAGCTGGCCCGGTCTACTTTGCTACAGCTGCGAAGCTTTATGCCCTAAGCAAAGTCTTGATATACACAGATTTCCCAGGTGCCTGTCTTTCTTCTGTTCCGCACTGCAACACTTTCATAGCTCTGCCCTTGCCATTGTTGAGGCTATCAGCTCAAACGGCTTGGCAGCACGGCCTTTCTGAACGATTTGCCGTGATTGAGCATTCTGGCCTATGGCCTCTCTTCTGACAGCATTAAACAGACCTAATGCTTCTACGCATGAAAAGGAAGCAGCGGGAGGTGCGCACCTGTTCAGTCTTCAGCAAGGCAAGCTTTGCCAGCTCTCTCCCTTTCGTTCTGTCATCCTCATTTCGATGCTGACCCAGGCACAAGCACACCTTCGATGTTGTCAACCTAAACCCGGAACAGCGAAATAGCACTCTGACGGCCAGATCAGGATCTGTTGTCAGGTGCTGTCGCCCAAACTCAGAAATACTTCTCACCTTCAACCGACTGCGCACCAAGAACTTCGCCTGGCATGTCTGCGAGTGAGCGCCGAAACAGCCCTTCAACAACTGAGAGCAGCACAAGTGGTGTGCTTTCTTTATGATCGAGTTCCATATTCTGCAATGTGACTGAACTTGCGCTTGAAGTAGGTACAAGGTTATTAGACATGCGACAAATGCCAAAGTCAGACCCAAACCCTGCTTTCATTTCCCGTCCTCAAGCCCCAGCTCGGCACGGCTAGCATTCCACGCACATGTGAACGGAGCTGTGCCAGTGGTGTATGTTCGGCGTGTGGAGAACCCACCACTGTTGCACAGTGTTCAGTCGCGTACGTCTTGCAGGCTGCTACGGCTGATGCGCTTGCTACGACCTTCAGACGCAGTTGCTAGTTGGTTATATACTATATATGCGATATCCAAACATGTTGGTATCAAGTGCAGTTACAGTTACATGTGCTTGGGCAACCTGCACCCAATCTGCTGAACTGACGGCAGAAGGGGGCATGGAAAGAAGCGCTGAGGACTGATCCGAAACATACCGCCGTTGTACACGCTGGCGATGGGCATCTTAGAGTCTTTCCAAGCACCTTGGACGAAGAAGGAAGACGTAGGACGAACAGTTAACAGGTTCTTGTAGGTCTCTCTTTCTCTCTCCATACATCTCGGATCTGTATGTACTGCTCATTTTGCTAGGGCATGACCTGGGTTTTTCTTCTTGCGCTGGTCGTGCTCTACACGTGTGCCATCCTCTGCACGCAGCTCATTGGCCACAGATTGGTCGTCCCTGTGGATTTTCCGGAGATTCTCGGCTGCAGTGATCCGCAGTGCTCCATATCAGAGATCAGTAGAGCAACCTCTTGTTCAAATCAGGAGTGCGTCTCAAGTCTTTCCCACTGTGGGCACCTCGATGTTCGTCTTGTCGCTTGTCCGCATGTGCTGAAGCCGGAGGGCCTATTCCTTGGTGATTCTTTGTTGACGGCCCGTTGCTGGTTCGGGGTTGTCCTGGCTTCGGGGGCCTACTGTGAACTGTGAAAGTCTAGACCGGGCATTGTTTTCGATACCAGTTTTTTTGGGTAACTAACTTGGAACGTTTCAGCGCTCCTACTGCTGGCTATCTGCCGAAATCCGCAGCTCCTTACTTCCTTACCTGATGGGCTTCGCGGCTTCTTGGCCGGGTTATCGGCTTTCGTTGGCTTCTTGACCTCCGCGGCCACACAGACAGACACAGACACAGACACACAACACCAACGCCAACGCCAACGCCAACAACACCACACAACACAACACGCCCCCCCCCCCACACACACACACACACACACACATATACCCAACCACACTTTCTCAAAGGATGGTCGCACTCATGGCTGGTTTCAGTTACTCGCATGCTGCTGGTTTGCTTTGCGGAGTACCTGGCCGCATGTGTGTCAAGGCGGCTCAGATCGCCGCAGCAGTACTTCAAGACGTGTGCAAACCCTCGGCAAGCTGGATGTTTTGACACGTGCAAGCACTGACTGAAGGCTGCTGCAAGAGATGTTTGACGCAGCAACAGCGATGATAATCAATGCGCAGCGTGGACAATAGATCTGGTTAGGTTGAAATCATCTTTGCAGGTACGTCAGGGTGATTAGCACTGATGTCCGCGTCTTCTGTGGCAGCTTCGTTGGACCACCACACACAGCAAACGGATGGCCCCCGTCCATAAATTGTACTCAGCGGAAATCCAGTGGACAGTACACACAAACACACACGCCACCACATACATGCACATACACAACACATGCGCGCACGGGCCCCACCACACACAGACACACAGAAAATCACACACACACAGGCACACGCACAGCAAGCAAACGCACAGATACAGGATAATGATAGCAGGGTTATCAGAACAATGAGAACATCAACCACATTACTCCTGGAGGACGCTGCAAATACGAATTCACCACAATCTCGCCACACAACAGCCCTGTTTATTTTGCTGCAGGGCGCTGCAAATTGCAAAGCAAAGAGCCCTACAAGTTCGATTTCCCGCCAAAGTTTGCCCCCAAGCAGGGTTTCTAAAGGTGGATTGTTTTGAACAGAGATGTATATACTAGCGTATGCAGGTTTTTGATTTATGCTGTTTGCTCCTAGGTCTTCACACTCAGATATATGCTGTTGCTACGCTCGAGACCGTAAGGTTCAAAGTCATGAATGCGGATACGCAGCCGTTGGACCCGTTGCTCAATGCAATGCCCATCTCCAAGCTGTTCACAGCATGTGTGAACCTCAGCTCAGCATGTTATTGCGGCGGATCCTGGCCAGTCCGAGTGAGCGTAGAAGCGCTTCCTGTGATTCTGTGAATACATGTGCAGACGCAGGGTTCATGATTCTGTCCAACTGGGCGATCCTGGCCATCCTTACAGCCGTGGTGAGCGAGAACTTGATAAGCGCGTGCACGATCCTGGGCCGAATAGTGCAATGTGGCCACCTGACTTCAGAATGGACGTTGCAGTTGCAACGGTATGTGGCCGTGCTTAGTTGGAGAAGTATGGATGTTAACGCCCTGTCGAAGCAGCAGTTCATGAAGTGCATTTGCTCTGGATGCTGTTGACCAGTTTCTCACTTCGAACAAGCCTCTGTATTCATCCTTGCCGAACGGAGCCAGTGTTTCAATACCAAACGCGACGGTCATCAATGCACAGAGTTTTTTGGATGGCTGTTTGTCACCTTCATCATCATGTTGCACAGTGCACACATGCATATGCAGCCACCATGTGCGGCGAGAAGTTGAATGTGGGCACCGAGGGACCACCGCAAACAGCAAGAGGATGCAAAGCAGCTGAAACAGCGCCAGACGCTCAAAGAGTTTCTTGGATGAATTCGCCTTGAGGGGCAGGGCAGGGTGGCACCGTGTGAGCAGTTCCAGCTGCGAGCCAGTTTGGAGCATACCACCCGAGGATTTTCTACAAGATGGATCAGCAGGGTGATTCGAACCGAGACTTGTCCAAATCCTTGTTCCATTGCAGTGGCTTGTGGATGTGCCGGTTCAAACGTGCAGGAAAAGTCAGCGAGACGGAATTCAACAGACGGCTGAATGACGGGGAGGTCAAGGAATCTTTGGAGGCCGCCCTGGAAGCCGTGTGTCGCGGCTAGTTGGAAACGAACTCCAGCACAGAGCTTTCCGCCCATGGCTTCCTTTCAGAGATCGGGCTGTCAACACTGAGGAACATACCAATCAATGATTTGCCGAACCTTTTCGAGCTGCTGTGTAAACATCCCACCAAGGGGGGCGAAGCCAATCTTGATTTGAGGGAAGCGTTGCTGATTCACGTCTGTGTTGCACCCATGAGCCAGCGGTTGTTCGTGTTGCCGTGTTGCCAACCCAAGGAGCCGCAGATTGATCTTGACGAGACTCGCCTAAACTTGTGTTCCCGCCTGCATCCTTGACCAAGTCCTGCAGTCAACTGGGTCCGACATGTCCTCCAGATTCCTGCTTGCACCCAGCGGTGAGAGTCGAAACCCGCCACGTCAATGCGGCTGAGGACAGCGGAAGACACAGATAATGTCGGGTCGTGAAACGCCTTAGGTAAAGGCCCTTGAAGACGTTTGAACACTGCGGCATACGCAATCCTGTGGAGCTGGGGCGCATGAATTCGGGGTGGGAGTGATCATGAAGGCGAAGGTGCAAAGGGCTTCAGCGATGCTTGTCGACCTTCCTGGCTCAAGACTCGTGGCACTGGCAATGCCGAACTCTACGTACCTGGATTGATGAAGGATGCCAGCGCTTGTCTGCGACTTGTGCATAGCAGGAGGCGAGAGGTCTTGCTGAGACCACGATACAGCCATGACATGCATCGACGACAATTGGTGTAGCGATGTGGCTGTGTTCTGAGAGCAGCCAGCTTTGGCTCTGATTTTGCCACTGTGATTCTAGAAGTTGTTGGTCGCAGAAAACGCACCCCCGCCCCCATACGGAACTGTTGGGTAGTCGTTGAGATGTTTGTTTCAAGAGTCGTTGAGATGTCTGTGCCACCCTTGGCAAGCTTCCCAACTCGACATCGATTCCGAGGACTTCCTGGATGCTCTGCACTTCCAAAGCAAGGCCTGCTGCCATGCGTTGTAGCCACTTTTTGTCGGGCCATCAAACCTCTCCTGGTTTTCTGATCGGACAGAACATGGAGTGCTTCCGGGAGCGCATGCTTCGCCTGGCTCGCTCCCGGAGCTGCAGGAAGTCAGCCAGCGCACCCTCATGCGCATGGAGCGGCGGATCGACAGCCTAGAGGTGATCCCAGGTGTTGGAGTAGGGCATGCTGCTCGCCTTGTCTCGTGACAGGCAATGGTCAGAATCCTTCTGGGTGAGGACCCAAAGTCGCCGAGCAGGTCGTTAAAGAAGTCGCCAACCAAGGGCGATCATAGTTTCGGACCTACTAGTAGCGCATCTGCGTAAAACGGAGTGGTGCTCGCAGCTCAGTGCTTGCAAGCTTCCAAGTGACACTTGTCCGGGGGCCCGCCGGCCTTGCCCCTGATTTTCATCGCAGGCGCTCTTCGGTGGAGGAATTCAGAGAAGCTTTCGGAGTGTGAGCCTTGTACAGGGCGCAGTTTCACAACAAAAGTTATGTTGTGGTAAAGGAGTCATCGGGCATCATACACGGAGCGTTCACAACAGACTTTTGGCTTGCCGTTTTGTTAAAGGTTGTTCATCCCGACAAGCCTCTTGATTGCTCAGCCCCGGAGTAAACTGCATGTCCCTTGTGTGGAATCGGGTAGACGTGACAGCGCCAGCTCACGAAAAGGTCGCGGTGCTGTGACAAGCGTCACGCCCTTCCCAGACTTCTTGCATTCTTGCCATACATTTGTTCTTCTGTTCCAACCTTCTGTTTGTCTGGGGTCTTGGATGGCCTGCAGTCGCCGAAGCCTCACCACCTGAATCTCAAGCCAAGCTGCTTCGCAGAATCATGGGCGCGAAAACGCGAACACGACCAATAAGTAATCTTCTTGCTGGTTACTGGCCCTCGGACCTCGTGATCCTTCAGGCATGACGCCCCCTCTTCCTGCCCGCAAGCTGCAACAGGGACAGCTCAACCTTGCTAGCTGAGATCACATCACTTACAACCAATGCCTTGCGAACCGTGCCTTAGCAGCTTTGCGGCAGATGCCTGGGCCCAAGAGTTGGCGAGCTTGACTTCCCACTCGATCCAGTGATGGGGTCAGGGGATCGGATGCAACCAGCTGCTTTGCAGAATTCCTTTGCTTTTCGGCTGCGTTTGCCGACGTCCGACAGTCTCTCATGAGATTGTGGTTTCCCATCAGGCTAAGTCAAACCTCGAGGGAATCCCCTTCTTCCTTTGCAGGCGATGAGCACTGAGTCGAGCTTCGAATCAAAATAGTATAGGTCACTTTTTGTAGGCCCCTTAAGCCCTAAACCCAAAACCCCTAAATGCCAGCGCTGCCAGGCCCGATGGCGGAGCTTTTCCTCGCGGTGGTATCGTGCACGGCGGAGAACGAAGATTGTGAGCAGCGGCGGCGCTCAGCTTGAACTAGCTGGTGAATGTAATGACAGGTATCAGAAGGTACGGGCGGCAGACGTCATGAACCAGTTTTCTAGAGCTGAACATCTGCATGCATCTGTCATCACCGCATGGCCAGAGAGCAAGCCAGAGCTCATACGCCCGCAAGGCTTAGCTGCGCGGTGGCCCTGGGGAGCAGTTCCTGCGCTGAGCTGTTGCAGTTCTCGATCTTCGAATCTTCGAGGGATTCCACAGCTCTGAAGAGGCTACCGCCGCAGCAACGTGCCGACATCTTTGGAGGACCTTTGGGCAACAGAAGGTGCAGTTAGAGTCTGTAGTGGGAGTTCGGACAGCTTCTGGGGCCTTCCAGGAAAGCTCAGAGGCTTGGCAGGTGCCACATGCTTTCTCTGTGGCAAGCTGAGCAGGTAAAGCTGGCCATGCATCGTGCGATGACCTGTTTGCTTCCCTGTGAGAAATTGCTTGGTTTTTCCGTTGCAGCACTTGGCCCAATTCGTCTGCACAGCTCTCTCTCAGACTCTCAATTCTTTAAATCAAGTCGTCCCGCTTCGAATACCAGGAGGGGGACAGCATTTGTGCGTGTGTCTATGCCCATCCGGCCTATCGAGGAAGAAGAACCTCCTCAAGAAGCCGAGGAGGAAGAAGACAAGAACTCTTTTGAAGAGTGCCTCGATGCTGAGTTTGATGATCACATCCCGTGCACATGGAGATATATTGCCAACTGCTTTCTTCTTCCGCTGACAAACGGTGGTGTGAACGGCTTTCCATGGTCGGGTGTGGCCTTGTTCTTTCAGTTGAACGGCTGGCCGTTGTGGAAGCTCGGTCTTTGCAGCTTTGCTGGATTCGGCTTGCGTGTGATCATGGCTCTTCTTTACCTCAAAGTGGGAACTTGGGTGTCGCTTGTTACCACCACCATACATCTTGCTTGCTGCGTGCCGGCGTTGATCAACCCCTTTGCAGATTGGGCTGTAATCATGGAAATGATTGCGCTGTTGGGCCTGGACAGCATGATTCCCAATGATGCAATAGTTTTCTACAACTACTGTGACTCGGAGACCCAGGCGCAGAAAGCGGCATCACAGGCACGTCGCACTCACGTCACAGATGAAGGTTGTAAAGCCAGACGTATCCGCTTGCCGTACCCGTAATTGTTGAAATCCTTGTTAGTGACTGTTAGTGGTTAAGCTGGGACTTTTGTCAGGTGCTCCAGAGCCTGGTGGCGTGTTATGCGACGGCTTCGACATTGGGGGGCCTGGTCTACGACTTTGCAGGATGGCGTGGTTGCGCTGCGTACCACTTGGCTTTGCAGATGTTGCAGGCATTCCTGATATTCACAGAGCCGGCCGTCTGGGCATCATGGTCAGAGTGGCGTCATGGGGCCTCTGTGTCGGACATAGATGCAGCCGGCGATAGACGCTCGACGGCCAGCATAGTTCCAGTCATGGAGCCTCCAGGAGCTGGACGACCTAGTGGGAATCCGCCGTCGCTTGTTTGTGACGATCTCTTGCCGAGCCCACCCAAGGCCACCGCACACGTGGTGGAGGGTCATTGTACAGCGGACCCTGTCTCGAATGCCGGCGCACAGCCATGTGGTGCCCGCAACTCGGGACATGAACAGAACAAGAAATCGGTGGCAATCTCACGGGTGTCTTTCGCTGCCCCGGCCACCAGAGGTTCGATGCTGTTTGCACGTGGTAGTTTTGCAGGACGGGAAAGTGGTCGGGTGAGTTTTGGGGCCGGTGGCGCCCGCCGCTCGCTGATGTCACGATTCCCGGAAATGCCCCGAAGTTCGGTTGCAGTGAAGATGTCCAGACGCTCAATGGCTTGTGGAAACATGATACCGATGAGTGTGCCACGCGAAGCCTCTCAGCTCATGTTCTTTGCAGAGGAGGAGCAGGAGGAAGGATCAGATGTGCGGAAAGCAGTCAAGAAGACTACTCCTAGGGACATCCTGCTTCCCGCTCTCTTGATAGGCCTAATTGGGTTCAACCACAATCTGTCTTACCAGTCGGAGTGGACCCTTTATGCGGTCTTCTTCGCGGAGCAGCACGGCTGGCAATCCGCAACTTGGGCCGGTTTGGCTCAGACCTCCGGTGATGTGCTTGGCACGATTATCATGAACTTCCAGTCCCGCTGTGCGGTTGCCTCAGAGGAGGATGGGTTTGATGGTGACAGGTGCCAGTGGCTTTGGTATTCCCTCACTGCCAAGCCGTACACCGCATCCTGGATTTTGCTTTCTTGGGCGATCTTGAATCTGGCCCTGACTGCTCCGTCGCTTCCGGCAGCAGTGGCGGCTCAAGTTGTCATGGGCACGGTCTTTGTGTTCTCGATGCAAGCAGCTACCAAAATGAACTTGTTTTATTCCCTGGGCGACGGCGATGTGTTTTTGGCTTTGCAAGTGATGCGGCAGAACTTCGAGTCGTTTGGCAGTGCATTGGCTGCCTTGGTGTCTCTGCTTCTGTATGAGCGCGTCCACCCGCTTGCGCCGTTTTGGCTAACCGCTGGAGTCTCCCTTCTCATCCTGCTCCTCTACACGCTTGCTTTTTGCAAGCGTGTTGGCTTTGGGGAGAGTTTGGATATGAAGGAAGAACAGAGAAGCCAGAGGAAAGGATTGGTACGAGAGAAAACTTGGCAGAAGAGCACAGCTACCATGGCCGCAGAGCAGCGCTTGAGTCTAGGCTCCGAGGACTAGCTGTGGGCTGTCATGAGTTTACCTCGCTGTCCGCGCGGCGCCAGTGGATACACGATTTTCGCTAACACACCTTCATCGCATGATTACGTTTTTGCTGCTTGCTGCGGCTTGCATGTTTTTCTGTGCATTCAATGGCCTGGGACGCTGCAATGCAGCCAGGAACGGTCTCGAAAATTCGAGCCTGTCGGCTCAGTAGCAGGTTTTTTCCCACCAGAGCATCCTCGCTTGCTTTGTTGGCCAGCGTGGCTCGGTCAGATAACTCAAGGGTTTGACGTAAGCCCTATGCAAGCACATTCGCAGAAGAGAGGATGCCGAAGAATTGAACTGTAGCGGCAGGTACAGCATGGTACAGTCATGCACAGCGGTAAGAACAGGATGTCGCGCTTTGAATGGATGATTGGGTCCTGAGATAATGAGTGCGTTCAGTCTGGATGTCAGGGCAGCCCCTGCCGTGAGATGCAACTTGTGTGACCGAGGTGTGCAATATAACTGTGCTTTTCGGCGAGAGCAGTGTGGCCAATGTGTCAGTGCCGATGATGCACCTGGGAGTCCTGACAGCAGCTACAGATTCGGGCTTCTTGTTGCTCAACGGGCCAAGTGAATCTGCCCTGTCTGCCCAGGACAGTCGAAGAACAAGACGCTGGACGAGCAAGATACCTGGACGCCATGTGAAGAGAACACAGGGGAGCCTGCAAACACCGGTGCATCGCGGCGTTGCAGAGGTGGTTTCGATTGGAGCCTGTCACTGGACCTGATGCCCATGCGCAGCTGCGACTTTTGTTGCACTTGCGCCGTGATGCTGCAGGATGGTGAGCTTGACATTAAATTTGTGCAGTTTGCTAGATCGCTGAAGATGATTCGCTTGGTGCAAGGAGACAAGGCAGTACCCCCGCAATGCTTTCAACAGCTTTGCCAAGAACTGCTCCCAAAACCCTCCGAGGACCCACCCGCTCTGAGGTAGGCGCCTTGGCTCAAAACCGCAGAAGTTCAAAGCCTTGCTGGCTAGGACCTGCAATCCGGGAAGAACCATCTTCCCACACCTCTCGATGCTGGGTTGCTGTTACGGAACTTTTTTTAAACTGGACTTCTTTAAAGCAAGCAGGCGCAGGCGTTAAGTTCCTTAACAGAAACCCAGGATGGGCCGGCTTTGGACGGCTTTCCCGCAGGGGGTCCCGCAGGCCAATGCCATCGTCCAGCGTGTGATTTACGAAGACCAAGCGTTGAGCAGCGTGTACCTGTAATGGTTTGCTGTCCGTCCTCTTGCACTGCAAGGTGAATTGTTGATCTCACCCCAAGCAGCGTAGCTGATGTCCTGAGATTATAAGCGTTCGATTGGAGTGCGGCGGACACTAGGAGGTCTGGCGCTTCACAAGCAAGGGCATCACCTCCCAGCGGCCGAAGGATCAAGCCGTGGGAGACAAGAACAACAAAGCAAAGAGCCAACACGAAAGAAGCAATGCTTCACACAGCTGTGATATCAGAGCCGTATCGGCCCTTCAGGCTCTAGGCACGAACCGGGATCGCTCAAGACAAGCTGTGCTAACGAACAGCCGGTCTTGGTGGGATGCCGGATTCATCCCGACAGCTGTTGCACTGCATCTATGACCACACACCCCGTTGATAAAGCAAAATGTGTCCCGACAGCGGCACCACCACTCGTGGTGCCACTGAAGCGGGGAAGAGACACAGCGGGAAAGCAAAAGGGGCCTGACACAGGCCGATCGGATCACGACCACTCCGACATACCGACAGACAGCAAGATATCCCAACAAGCGACAGGACACAGTACTTATCGGTTTCGTGCTCGAGGCACCGGTTTGGATCGAAACCAACTTCCGCGTCCGGTGAAAGTCTGAGGGCAGACGCCTGCTTTGGCCTTCATGCAAGTGCCCTGCGGCGGTGCGCGCTGACCATGTGGGTTTTGGGGCCGGCAGCGATAGGCAGCGCATGGAGCGCTCGCGGGCGTGCGAGAGCGCTCGTCATGACTGCGCGAGACACGCGCCTGCGCCAGACGCCAGGAGCTGATCCTTCGGAGGCCTCCGCTTTCCCCCGTGTGGACTGCTTGCGGCATTCTAGCACTTTTGGCATTCTAAGCGCAGGAGGCGGCAGCTTCGCAATCCTTAGCCTCCGAGCTCGAGGCATTGCAAAGGCACGTCTGTGGTGCAGCGATGCTGTGCGTTGCAGACGTTGCATCTCGGAAGCAGGCTGTGTTTGTCCTTGACAAGAGCGGCGCAACCGGAGACACCGCAGCCTCCCCGAGGCGACGAAAATACACGAAATACATTCATATATGTATACATATATGTATAGAGACATGTACATAGATATAGATATAGTTAGAGACAGAGTATTATAGAGAGAGCACCCTTTGGTGGAAGCCAGGGGAGCCAAGAAGTTTCTCCCAGCGCGTGCTTGAGTCAACATATCCGTGGGCAGTATAGCTCAAAACATAGGCCCATCACCTGCGCATGCAAGGCACCGAATGTGCGACCCAGCAGCTGCAAACAACCAGGGCCAGGGTGTTGACGAAGACGCTGCTCGAAGACATGGTGTCCCGTGTCGCTGAGTGTGTTGGAGACATGTTCCGAGCAATACGACGAGGAACACGGTTGTGGTCAGATTGATTGCTGAAAAGTGCTCCAAAACTTGCCCTAGACCCCTGCTGTACGGGCATGATCAGTTCCAAGAGCGATGCAAGCTCCGACGAAGACGAGCACTGCCGAGCAAAGTGCAGAACCGCGAAGACCAACCATGATGGAGTGAACGCCGGCTTGCTAGCGGTTCGCCCACAGGAAGCGGATTTAGTGCAGGCAGCAGGGGGGTTTCAAGCTCAGTCTTCGAGGCGGGTTGGGGTACTAGCTTTAGTGGTTCTGGTGAACATGCCTGCGACTAGAGACTCAAAGGCCCAACTCTGTCAATCTGCACTCAATTCCCCAGTGCGCGAATTCGCGCGGGGGGGCAGCGCACGCTAACTAACCCCTCTGGCTGTGATGAAGAAGAGAGAGAAGAGCAAGAGAGAGAGAGAGAGAGAGAGAGCAAGAGAGAGAGATACGGTGTAGGGGGGTCAAACCCCTGCACCATAGCCTTGGCGAAAGAAAGAAAGAGAAGGAGATAAAAGCGAGCCATTGGGGCACGGAGAGGGTTGGGGGTTCTAGCGTTCGGGGTCGGGGGCTTGCAACATGAACTGAAACCTGGCGCAAACTCGGTAGTCTTGTGCAGCAGTCAGGAGAGACCCCAAAGCCAACCACTCAACCACTCAATAAAACAATGGGTGGTC